TTCAAAAAACGAAACCAGTGGCGATTATAATTTTGAGCAAACACCACGATACTGCCACATCGGAAACTGTTCATTTCAATAGATTCCGATGCAGCAGTGTGTACTTTTTCTTAATTTCATCATACAAAATTTACCAATGCTCACATGATTATCTCAAATAGGATAATCAGAGGCATATATATTGTAACTTTTATTTAACCAACTTAAAAAAAAAAAAGAGATTTTCTGTTCAATTTTTTTATGTTTGTTACCTCAGAAATCCATCATTTAAAAATCGATTTAAAATATTCTTTTTTAACTGAAAAGATATACTTTCAGACTGATCTCATAATTGCATTAAAATCAATTTACTAGTTCAGTTTTAAATCAAAATAACTGGTTTTTACGATTGAAGTAGAATTTTCTTTCTTTGTCAAGTTAATCAAAACTCACGACGGTTGAATCTTCGATAATTTTTTTATGTTGCCGTAATCTAACTCGTATTCTATAATGTGAATAAGAAAAAAAAAACAATAAAATTTCGAAGCTTACCCTATCTTTACTATTTTTTAAAAAACATTCATTTTAAAATTTTTTGTTGATAAATACACTCTATTACTATTATAAGAATGTCCTTCCTTTCCCGTAGGTGTCGTAAAAAACGACTAAGGAAACTTTAATGGTTAAAGATGAACAGCAGTGTCCATCCTAAAACATCACCAAATGCGGTCGCCAACCCGCCTGCCAAGCGTAGAAACTACTGGCAATAGGCCCCTTATAGGTGAGGCGTATTTTCAACAGTGTACAATTAACGGCTGATATGATGACAAAAATTACTGTAATGAGATAAGTTTTGATTTAATCTACCAAAATACAAAAACTAAAAAAATCGGCAGGTGTTCAGAACATTCACATCCATCAAAAATATTGCCATGCTCTGCCACACTAAATAAACATTGGCCGCGCCCGAAAATATGACGAGCAAACTGATAGCCTTAATTTTAGGTTATTTACCCATTTTTTTTTTTTTGTAACTTTCTAACTTCATATGTGTTAGAAACTAATGATTAATAAATTTTAATATTTTTTTTTATTTATTTATTGACTTTGATAATGTATGCCTATTTATGTTAAACCCTCTACTTGGGGCGAAGAAATAGTTATTAAAGAATAGTGACCCCATTGCTAACAATATATCCCCTCTAGGGTCGACCCTAATGCGGTCTCCCTGGAAATCACCATGACTAATTAATATTAAATTCGTCATGTAGGGCAGACTGACTTAACCTCGTCCTCAACTATCACCCTTTATGATATCCCCTCTGCATAAACAAGAGTAGGAGGGATAATAATTCCTTAGCATCCATTAAAAAAAATCTTAAAAAAAACTACTGCATCTGTATATAACTAACGTATAAATATTACTTACATACAGAGGCAGTCGAAGTTTCTTAAGGTTATATGTCAAATTTTAGACATATAACCTTAATAAACGTAGTACACAGCAAATAATATTGTAGTAATTATTTTCATTAAGAATTATATCATTCTCCACAAGAAACCATAGTCCAATAATTAATAAGTAATTGAATATATACATATTTATATTATTATAATATACTACTATCATTATTTTTTAATTTATTATAAAAGATATTGAATGAAACAAAAAGTGAAAACTCGTGGTACCTATATAAAAAAATTAAAAAAATAAGAGGTATCATATTTTTACAAAGCTTCAGCAATCAATGTATGTTAAAGCAAATAAATACATAATTCTTAATACTTAATTGTTTATAAGAACAATTTCTTTTATATCTTTATTAAAATATCTATACTGTATTCATACTATAGAAAATTTAACTCAATAGAATAATAATAATTTAAAATTCAAAATTAATATCCCCATGATATAAAATATATTGCAATGAATTTGAAGAAAAATAAAGTATTATGTTAATCTGCTTATTATATATTACAAACGTAAATAAATACGAAAAATGACAAATATCTAAAGAAAGATTGACCTCCTTATTCATAAAAACTAAAAGATCTTTTAAAACTATTTTAACTGATAATGTTTGACATTTTTATGAATAAGGAGGTGGAAATATTTATACAAAGTTTTAGGATAAACGAACAAACTACTGTAATCCGTTTATGTATACATATATACATAAACAGATTGGCATATTTAGAAAACAATCTTAACATTTATTTTTTGCGAAGTGTAAGTTTAATAGTTATTTATAAATGTACTAAAACTAATATTACTACAAATTATTAAACTACTGAAAATAATACTGTACAATAAATCATAAATAACTAGTACAAAACTATTTCATTTTAGCGATTTGTTCCCATTAAGCACTGTTATTTTGATAAGTTATGCTAAGATTGCTAAGTAAATATGCCAAATATATAGAAAACAAATTATAGGTTACAACATCAATGTCGCTATAAATTGGGCGTAATATTTTCACCAATGTTAGCATCAATAAAACCGCTATACCGTTTTCTATGGTATACACATATACTCACCTTAAGACGTAGTTCATTGAAATCGAAATAGATGCCATTAGTACTAATATAATAATATTAATATTGATACTTATATTTTATCTGTCAAAAAGGTGAATTAATTTCATTATGACTTGGTTGTTCGTTATTTGGTGTTCGCTTTAATGCTTTAATTTTCAACAAGTGTTTCTTTTGTGTTTCCTTCATCTGTGCAAAATTTATTGACTGATGTATTATTTGTGTAAATCAAATCAAAGGTTGTGTTTTTCAAAGCTATGTGTTTGCCATAAATAAATAAAAGAAAAAAAAATGGCAAATCTCTTACAGAGATAAGCCAACCCTTGCTAACAAAATTAATATATAATGATAATAACATAATGTTAATAACGCGGACTACCCATCTCATTCTTAGCAATATGCCCAAAAAGGTCGATCTCCACGTGGTCCCCCTAGGTACCTCCCTAGAAACCATCGTGGTGAATTTCAAGTGAATTCATCACGATGGGCTAATTGACCTGCTTTATCATTCTCACCTATTATCTCTCACTGGTGGGGACCAGTGTATACCGATAGCGCAGGCGGGGTTACCATTCCATTATCATTCATAAAAAAAATATAATAATATAAATAAGTTTTATCTATTTAGGTTCAGTTCAATAAAAAATAACCATTGTTTTTCGTATGATTATGCATGTACTACGAAATTCTTACTACATAAGACAAAACGAAAAGAATGTAACAGTTCTAAATCCTGAAACAGTATGTGTGAAACTGAACTACATAGCTAAAGAAGTTTAACAGTGGACAGTTAACATATTATAAAAAAAAAAACAGAACGGTGTAAGGCACGACCGATGCAACCAATAAAAAATAACCTTTATATAATTTCAAATTTTTCACGATTGCCACATCAAACCCTTCCAGTTCTTTGCTGAGATTTGCTTGCGTTTTCATAGCTCTCCCGTGTAGTACTCTTGAAGTTACTGTAATGGCTTATATTAAGCCAATAAAAAATGATTCAGAAGTTATTAAGCTTCGCATCAAAACAAGTTACTTCATAAATTTCAATTTTTTTGGCTACAAAATTTCAATGCAGAGGACACGCCACTTAACTAGAATGGAAAAAGAATTATCAAAATAAATTTCGTATTAATGACGATATTGCATATAATGCACACAAATAAATGCAGACGAGATGAAAACTTTTCTCATTGAAGTTACTTAAAGACTTCTATGGATGGATCATTTCAAAATATACATACCATTTTTTTATACTATTTAGAATGTAAACAAACTGACGTCCCACCTGATAGAAAGTAGTAACCGTCGCCTATACACATAAATAGTACAATGAACAACAGAATATACTATTTATTAGTTACTGACATTGGAGTATTTAAAGTTATTTCCCAGGGGATTAACCACCCCCTTAATTAAATGTGTATATGTACTCTTAGACATCTCAGCCCATCATTAAAAGGATAAGGAGAGGAGCTCCTAGTCCTAGGGTAAGCACCGTTGTGCATAAACAGGAATAAATTTATTTAAAATATGCATAATCGAGGACTTACCCAGGTACACAATTTAACTAGACCTTTTCTAACGTCAATGTTATATTTAGGTACAGGCAACACTTAGACACTAGATTAATTGTTATTATACCATTAGGTAGGCCGCTAGCTTTTTTTCTATTTACAGCGACAAATTAAATCCTCAAGGAAAAAAAAAGAATGGTTCGACACCATTATCTTCTTCCATATTGTTATCTCTAATTTGATTATTCAGCTAAAATATTATGTCACAAACCACCAAGAACTAAAGTTGGCTTCAAAATCAACTTAATTATATAATATTCACACTGGTCCTATGTATAAAAATTTCGTCGTAATCGAACTGTAATATCCTGTAATAAAAATTCTATATCATACTACGAATCGGTAAAAAATATTAAAAAGATTAAAATAATAATTAGTGAGCTATGAAAGGATTAATAAAGACAGCTCGAAAAATCGATAAACAGGGAAGAAAAAATATTATCGAGTTGCGACTCCTTATAATAAAATTCCACCCTCCCCTCGCGGTGTGCGAGTAATTACTTCAAAAATATAAGAGGTATGAACGCAGGTGACTCTAGACCGTACTTATACTAAAACTTGCTGTGCTCTTATTAATAGTTCTTTTTTAATAAAATGTGAAACTTTCTTTTTTAACGATCCTAGTTGGTACATTAAATGATAATATGTTATATATAAATATGTATTTATTTAAAAGTTGATCCCACTTTTTAAGTTGATTTCAACTTTGTACACCTACAGAAATTAATTCTACTGCAGAATATGACAATCTGAAAAATGTCCATGGATATAAATAAAAATCTGTTTTTAGCATTTTTTTTTTCAAGTGACAACAGTTTGACAATTAGATTTTAAAAAGACAGCTACCATGAAATAGGTTTTATATACCAAAACAAGAAGGATATTTTAAAAATAAGAATTCAAAAATATTTAATACTAGAACTTTGTTTATTTGGATATACATTTAATTATACGAAAATTATAAATTATTTATTTAAATCTAACTCTATACTAATATACAAATGAAAGGATAAGTATCATCGCAAATTTTTACTAAACGTATTTTTTATCTACAATAGAAACAAATTAATTTTACCTAAAGGTCCATCAAAAATATAATAATTATAATTGTATTCAATACACTTAAACGTTTCGGCAGATAAAAAGAAATCCTATTTAATGCATGCAGAAAATTCTTATGTAAACTCGGCTATTATACGATATCCTAGCTTAGTAACAAACTTATTTTTATATATTATTTTGTATTTGGAACTTGTCTATATTTCTGTTTCATTTTTATTCAATTATTATTAAACACTAAGACAAATAATGACACTTCAATATCTACGACAGCAACACAAATGCACATTTTATTGAAATAAATAATACTTTTTTTTTTTTTTTTTATATTCCTTTGAAAAATTATAACATACTATACGCTTTGTAATGTTTTTATTGACGAGAAACGACAAGGACTTAAATGGATAACAATACTGCAAATAGACACAACGACCACACTATTTTATATATTTAATAGTGTCTTTATATTTATATATACTAAGTCATTATACACAAAGCGAAACATGTTGCATAATAAAAGAAAACTGTCAAAAGCAAAGATGACGTCGTCCATCGTTTTTAATTTCTTTGTAAACTATCTATACAAAAATAGTACAATTTTAAAAATAATATGCGCTTTAACTGAATAATTAAAAGAATCAATATAAAAAATAGAAATTATTAAAGGTCACCAATTTATATTCATAAATACATAAAATAAAATGATCAAATAACTAGCAAATAGCATTATATATCACCTTAGGTTATATAGATAGTGTCTCCATACAAATGTTTAAAAAAAAGCGGGTCAACTTTTTCATACAATTGTGTACGCGACAGTGTTACCAGATGAAAAATTATTACTTTAAACTAAGGTAAACAGATGAAGATTTTAACTTAAAATATTATTAAGATTAAATAATCCTTTATAATATTTAACTTTACTTATATAATTATATTATTTATTAAGAATAATGCGTAGATAAAGAATAAGAATGCGTTAGATGGAAATTCATAATTATTTCATATTGCTTTTTAAAATAGTAAAATTTTAAAGTGACGGTTGACAAATCGGTATTTGTGGACCCATGTAAAAGGATATGAACGGATGTCTTTTTACTTAACGATTTCTTTGAATACGAATATCTCAGAATCTTTATAGATTTAAAATGTGTATTAATGTTAAAAATAATCGAAGTGGGATTCGTTTTAATTTTATGCGAGTTTTTGGAAATACCTACGTATGGGAATGGAAAATATCGAGTTAAGTGTAATTAAGTTGGCTAAATGTAAAAAATATTTAATTGTATTTTATCTTAAATTTAATTTCTTATGCTATTTTGTTAATCCTTATTCAAATAAACACTTATAAGTTTAAATAAAAACGGCAGCCATTTTCATAATTCTGACATCGAATCCATTCTTGAAGTGTACACGGATTCCTCAGATATCAATTTTGACAGCAATCGGTCAAATAACAAAGCACCGGATCCCTATGTGGACAAGTGTGGTGTTTTCACTCGAGACACTGCCTATATTTGATACTTTATATGGTTATGAAATTATCAAAACTGTATGAATAAAAATGAAAGCAAAATAAAGATTTTTCTTTTTTTTTTCATTATATGCTTTTTTTTTTATTTTCATCATACACTTAAATTATAACTTCTTAACTAATTCAATTCTATCAATATTAAACCATAAATGGTGGTCATGGTTTATTAATATCGGTTACTATATTCAAAATAAATGTCTTTGACTTCCTAGTTCTTTCGATACGTAATATACATACACAATACTCAAAATTATTCGAAGAACCTACGCATTTTTTTCAATTTGTCACCGACGCCGACTTAAAATAAACTCAAGATCATTTTATCTAGTAAGAATTTCATTTATTTAATTAAAGAGAACTATATTCTCAGCTTAAATCTAAATTATAAAACTTTATTTGACAAGGATGTCAATAATTAAATTGCCAATTATAAACTGAAGTCTTCGGTTAGGACAAATATCGGGATAATACAAGAATTTCATGTTCTTCACCCACGTTCACTGACGAAAAGTCTGTGAACTCTCTGTAGAAACACGAAAACGTAAAGAAAATAACATACATTTAAAATATGTAGCAAAAACAAAAGTATTATTACGTTAAGTATTTGCAAGTAAAAATAAATAGTCCCTATATTTAAACCTAACCAACGACTTGTAAATATTACAAATATAGACTCGGGATTGGGTTGATCCCACTGACGGTATAGATATATCTAACGAGATAAAGTCATTACTAGAATATTATTTAAAAACGACGGCGTTTGTTAGGGAAATCATCCATTTGTCGAGGCGCGTCCCAACCGCGGCCCTGCGGCATGTCATCGTAACCTCCTCTCGGCATGTCGTACTGGTCTCTGTAGCCTCCATCCTAAGTAAATCATAATACTTTCCAATAGTTTTCACTTTATACAAATGCAAATATGCAATCAAATAAAACATAAATTAAATGTATTATAGCTGAACCTAATTGATTTAACAATCAATTCAGTCTCTAAACATTTTCTCATGTTTACATAAAGAGGTTTCACGATTGTAATTAGTGATCATAAATAACACGTATTTACTCAACACCGGAAATGTGTCCTATATCCGTTTTTGTTGTACTGTTAAATGAAGTAACTATATATAACTAAATATTGAACTTGAATAATAACAATCCAACAACAAGCTTTCAAAATAGAACTCTTTTTTCGCTCTCTCTCATAATAATAAAGCAGATTGTATAAAATGGTCGCCCAATTCTCATTCGACTTTTTCAACCAATTTGCAATAAAAAATTTCAAAATAATTTCCTAATTTTCTTTGATAACAGGAAACAAAAATAGTCGTAATCATGTGAAGATTGTTATTAAATAATCCTTTCAATAACAAAAGAACATAAATAGAAGATTAATGAACAAATAAATTGTTTGCTATTACTATTTAATTAGTATTAAACTTAAATATATTTGGCGTGACAGATATGTATATATGTACGTATATACTCGTATTTCCTAATATATTTACATAACAATCTATTACAAAGTCCATAACGTTTTATAAAACTTTAAAAAATATATAGAACAAATCATAAAATCATATAGACACGTCAATCGTATTATTATAATAAGCACGTTGTTTTTTCTACTTAGCGTCTGCATAGCGATGATCAACCAACATTTTAGAGACACACAAATTACTGCTAAACGGGGTTAATTGTTTCTAAAACTTTTAAGATTAAACCAAATATTGCATGAATATTTAATATACTAGTATATAGAATCCCTTTCACTCATATTTCATAAGAGATCAGTTTAGTATGATTACAATAAGATTATACAGTACATAAATCCAATAGTAGTGGTTAAACTTGTAATTGCGAGTAGACAAAGTTCAATACTCATATCGATGTGTAATATGAACAGTGCATATCTTGTCTTTCCCTATTCATTTGTGTTATAGCACAACATTTTAATAGGAGTCCGTGGTGCTATAAACAAAAATAAAGAAAACGAACGAATTACTTAAACCTACAAATTAAAGAAATTAAAAAATAGTTAACAGGTATAGGGAAATAATTATCGCCACATTCACACTTAAATAGTCGCCGTGGGATCTATTTATTTTGTGATAAAACCTACCGAATCAAATTTGCCCTTAGAAAAATAAAACAATTTCTTTTTAACCCTTTGAGCACTAAAAGTGCCACGAGCGTCATAGCGCTCGTGAAATCAGTCTCTGTTTAGCTTGCTGTAAAAAAAAACATTAAAATTGGATAATTTTTGGAGGAGATAGTTTTTTTTTTTTAGAGACAAGGGTAAATGACATCAACACGACAAAGATTTCTTTGGCATTTTTAAGTAGATATGAGTAAAAATCAACGGCACTAAAAGGGTTAAAATCAATTAGTATATCACCAGAGATGTCATACAGTTTCAGAGATTTTGTCGAATTAAGGGTTTTAAATAATATCTAAACGGTTAAAACACTAATTGTTAATAATAAACTCATGGCAAAACCAAGTCTGTACATAAATTATTTTCAAATTGTTACTGACGTTTCGAAGCATAACAGATATTATATCAAAAATAAATTAATACGAAGCGTACAGAGGAAATCAAATTTCTAGTATTTTGCTAAACCGTTTTGTAGTGTATAAATGCTTCGGATATTGCTTCCAACGACCGTTTTATATATCATGGAAAGTAAGAAGCAATCGATAGACATTTTTCTAAATATTAATTTCTCAAATTTGGAGATCTAAGCTAGAATTCAATCTTGAGATATTCGAGTCATAATCGATTGCTTGAAATAATAAAAAAATTGCTGAACATTCAGTACATTTAATATTCCGTTAATTGCAAATCTAAAACGGCCAAGTCCAGACAAGGTAGAGATACCGATAGCCGCAATATGGACAAGGTTATACATCACACGCCTTTCACTACTCTACGATAGGCTAAAGCCTTTCTTCAGTCCATTGATAGGTATGGATATTTCTCCATAAGAGACGCCTTCTTTACCATTTACATTTATCACGCGGTTTGATAGGAAAAAGTAGTGACCATAGTGGTTTTTTTTTTATGATGGTTAATGGGAGTACAAAACTGATATAGTATAGTCTTTTTAATTGCCAGTTAATGTGGATTTAGATTTCATGGAAATAAAATCCAAGCAATACAAAAAACCAGAAGCAGCACTATGGAATATATTAATTTTAAATAGGTACGTAATTATAATACAAGAGCCACGAGACATTTGATTCATAATCTACTTTGTATACCTATAACAGGGAACCCGTTACCATAATAACTCTATTAAGTGGGTACTTTTTTACAAATCTTAGAATGGCAAATGAACTAATGGAAAGTGGTAACCGTTGCTTATAGACACAAACTGCAGTCATGCATTGCCAATTCATACATACATGTGTCCGTAACCACTTATGTACGGTGTCCCTCTGGTGAACATTCATTTATTTTAATATTGCAATAATGCACATATTCAATTATTGATATACAAAAAAAGGTTTTTTTTTTTATATTGTTTTATAAATATGAAATCAATATAAACAAAATGAATATGAATGAATGCGTATCTTCTGTCTGACGATATATCATGTTCAGTTTCAATACATATACATAACAATTTCAGCTTCTGAGCCTACCTACCCTCTCCGACACAGTGCACATGCTATCACCATCTACCTAGTTATATCACTAAACTTACGACATTATTTAGCTTATTTTTGGTTAATAACAACAATCTCGCCGATTTTTGAAAAAATAAAATACAGACAGGACTTCACTCTGATGATTATCAAATTACAACTCAATTTTTCTTTTCCTGATTTCACTATTGGTTTAAATAGAAATTTTAATTTATTTAAACCTTTTATTATAATTCTTGTAATTATAATAAAAGGTTTAAATAAATTAAAATTTTTGAACAAGAAGGATTTTATATTTTTATGAATAAGACGGACAATATATAAGTCCGTCTTTTAAACCATATTCTTATTTGGTTAATAGTTATTTAAAAAATATTTTGTACAAAATAATATCACGACACTGAGCGCCCTTTTTAATTAAAACTGAGAAATTTAAATTGGAAAATAACCTTTTTTAAATTAAATACTTTCTATTCTTATACAATAATTCTATTCTGATACACAATAATCATTAAAAGTGAACCTGAAGTCGAAATTGAAACACGAAATTGTTGAATTTTGCGAAATAAATCAAAATCAGCCAATTAAGTAATAAACAAATCTATTGATAAGAAACTTATCGCTTATATTATACATGCATGCTCAGCTTTTTATTATTTAAATTGGTCATAAGTATATAAATATATTATATACTAAAACATTTATTTCTAAAGACCGTGATTTAAAATCATCATTGATCTATTATACCCTTATCTAAACCCACCTGATTCCGCTGCTTTAAAAGTTCATTACACTTTTCTGACAGAGCCGTACATTTATAAAATTTTGAAAATAGCGGACTACATAACGATAATTACCATACATAAATTAACTATTGTAATATTACTTATTTTATTTAGTCTTCGATCACACATCGAATAGTGAGCTCATGAATAATTTTTATTTTTATAATGTCCCATAAACAATATTCACAAGCTTCCGAATCAAGACAATTTCATGTAAGCACAAAAATTGTATTTTTGGCTATATGTGAAATTGTCAAAAAATTATTCATGCGTTCACGATTTGTTGATGTATGATCGAAGAATAATATATTGAAATAGCTAAATCGGATAATTATTTTTGGATATATTTGAAATTATCACGAAATGTCATGATATATGTATTGGTGTATGAACATCTTTTTCGTCATAGTAGACTTTTTATGAATCATTAATATATACTGGTGAAGTTATGACTTGGCCTACCTGCAACTAACTTATCCACTACTAATTAGACCTCTATAGAGTATAATATCAATCATAAAAAAAAAACAATTTCATGATTTATTAAATTATATAATACGTTAATTGAATTGCTAAAAAATATTAAAATAAAAAAAAATCCAATATCGAAGGTCAGATGATAAAAAAAGAATATTACATTTGTGTGAATATGAAAAAAATGTCTGTTATGTTATTTTTAAATATTATTTTCTCAATTCACATTGATTTTCTTTAGATATAATGTTATTATCTCAAGGTTTATATACAAAATGTTACCTGAAATAATGTGAAACCCCAAATAATCGTACTTGGTTTGCAGCGAGCAAATAAAGCTGATTAATTAATGATATTTTTTTCTTATTTGCTCAGTTATCACATAGTCTTTTTTTATGCAACTTAGAATGGCAAAGAAGCTGACGGCCCTTCTGATGGAAAGTGGTAACCGTCGCCTGTAGACATGAGCAGTACCATGGACATGACACAGTATACTGTTTCGCCCATGATACCCCCATGCGTTGCCATTCCTGAGGATTCAGATGTTATTCCTCTGTACCCTGTAAATTCACTGCCATATCTCCAATCTTTCAAACCAAAATACAACTGCTTCATGGTTGAAACACGAATGGGACAGAGGTGCCCAAGCAAATAACTTTTGTACAAAGTCCCTCTGGTAAAGTATAAAATGAGTAGTCAAACTTTAAAGCCGGACCACACTATAATGCCGGTTTCGGTTGGTTCTCGGTTAATCAGTTCTCGAGATGGCAGTACGAATTCAACCCATGGAAGCAATAAACAGTCCGAAATTGATCGTGACTGGAACGTAACGGGACTGGACTGAATTCACACATTATTTCTTACGTAAAAATATTTTACCAGACCGAGATTGGACCGAGAGGGAACCAAAATCGACATAGTGTGGGAGCCGCCATGAGCGTTTAAGCTGTCCACCGCTCTCAAAAATTTTACCACCAATAGATTTTACTATACAACAAAATTTGAACTTAAAATAAGAACAGCGGTCTACGTGCGTATCTTTGCATATTTTTTGTTTATATATAACAGCATGGTAAAAACAGTATAATCGTAATTATTTTTAAATATTTTGGATTTAATTTTAATGGTTCAAGTTTAAATTTAAAATCATCCAATTTCTTACTTGGCCTTATAAATATTGTAATAGAATCTGTAAACGTGTGCAATAAATGAACAAAAAGATACAATGACATTTTTATAGTTAGTGACTAGTCGAGCGCACTTAGTACGAAGAAAATGTCTCCCTGTTCAATTGATAAAAGACAAAAAGTATCGTTTACGTCTCCAGATCTGGAGTGACGTATGATCTGGAGCACAAATTCGAAAAAGAAAGTGTACTCACCATTGGCTGCTGCTGGTCAAACATGCCTTGTTCCTGGCGATCCAACATAGAGTTGAGTCGCTGGGCCTGAAATATTATGAAATTATTTTACCATTACATAGTACTGCATCAAAATGCATTTGTTGCATTATTCCAAATGAATATTTTCTTAAAATACCCAGATTTATGTATTCTTTCAAAATCTTTAATTTGTATACTATTATTTAGATAAAATGTACCAAACAATATCCATAAATGAATGGGTGTCAGAAGAAAATGTATACCTGTACAAACAGTGTGTTCTCCTGCTGTCGTCGACGCAACTCATCATCCTGGAGACGCATCCTCTGCGAGAGCTCCTCCTCCTGGCGCATGAGCTGGGCGCGTTCACTCTCGCGGCGCTGGTCGGCAGCCGCGCTCGCCATCTCCCAGCTGCGCTTCTGCCGCTCGCGGTCCTGCTCGCGTTGCCGAAGTTGTTCGCGCAGTAGCTCTGTTTCATGCTCGTATCTATATTGCAAAAAAACAAATTATTCGATACGCCGCGATACACAGAGCACGTTTTTTAATATGTTGTATTTATATGTTATTATAGATCATGTTGGTTTTTTATAGGATTAATTGTATTATACCATGCTGGAATCAATATTATTCATAAAACTGAAGAACTGTCCCCAAAAATAAATTTGAAATACCTGAATAATTTTTTATTTTAACAATCTGATAATAAAAATGATGATGTCAGTTGTCATGGTGGCACAATAGGTTACAAACTTTGTTATAATTAAATATGTTTACACACTACATACTTAGCATATTCCATTTGAGCTTCCAACTTCTCTTCTTCAGCAGCTAGTTCCTTTTTAAGAGCCTCTTCCTTCTGGCGGTGAAGCTCATGCAGCTGCTTCCATCTTGTACCATATTCGTGTTCAAAGCTCGCTGGTTCCGAAAATCTTGGCCCAACCTGTGTATGTATGTATGCATATTGACAACATTAATTAGATATAATAATGCAGATAGCAGCAATTTGTCTTGGACATTCCATAAAAAATGTACTTATAGTTATGACTGTTTTTATTAATTGAGCAAAGATTAAACTACTGATGATTACAACACTCACCTCCCGAGCTTTCAAAAATTCAGGATGTTTCTTAGGGAGATTCTTTTCTGGGTAGCCATCAACCTCATCTGGTTCTTCAAAGCTTTCTACAATGACTGGACGAAGAGATCTACAAAGAAACATTATTAAAATATCACATTATTATACAAGATTTTACTAGCTTCATCTCTATTTTACATTTAAATACTATACTATAATATTTTATATTTCAATACTTACGATGTAAGGAAGTAACACTTCTCAGTACAATTTCTAATAGCGGCTAAGGCACTGGGTTTTCGTGCAAATTCCACTACTCCTTCACTGAGAGTTTTTCCCCTCTCATCAACCTTGACATAAGCCCTCTCAATTTTCCCAAATATCTCAAATGCTCTATAGAGTAGTTCATTCGAGACAAAAGGTGGTAAATTCTTTACACGAATAGCACAATTGTGTGGAGCAAATCTTACTCGAAGTGTTCTTCCATTTCTCATTTTACCATCCAACTCACGTTTTGCTCTTTCTGCATTCATTCTATAATCCTATTAAAATAACAATATATTAAAAAAAAAGTTATTTACGATATCATTATTTAAACAAAAATGAAAATGATAATCTTTTAATATATTTTTTATTGAAAAAAAAAAAACATTAAACACATGAGAAACTATTGATTAACCCTCCGCCAACCGTATAAGACAATATCGTCCGCGCCAAGTTTGGACCTGATGCATATCTTTGTAAGAAAAAAAAAGGAAGGGGTCTCAAACCCCTCTGTTAAAAAAATTTACATACGCGCGTACCTCACAGGAAAGGTTTTGAAAGGCTTTTGTAGAGATTACAAAATTTTATTTCACTAGATGGGTAAAGTATTCATATGAAAAACTATGAAAACAGAAAAAATAAACCTAGAACATATTATATAGTAGGTCAAATTATCGTCTGGGACGATATCGTCCGAGACAGTTTACGGTGTGCAAAAAAAAAAACACAGTTGGTGGAGGGTTAATTACAAGTATTAATATTTAATGGTTTTAATTTTCTGCCTTTCCTCCCAAAGACTGAGGAATAAGTCTTTTTTTACTCTTCTTTTTATTGATTTTTTTTTTATTGAAAATATTACACTTACCATTTTAATGAAGCCAAAATTCTTTTCCTTATTGAGAAACAACTCTGCAGTTTCACCATATGGGTTAAAAAGATTCAAAATTTCCTCTTCTGTTACATCATTAGTAAGATTACCAATATACAAACGGCTGCGACCATTAAATTTCATTTCTGACTGATCTATTGGGGGCAAATCCAGCAATGGCCCAACCAAATCCTTTAATTTATTTGCTAGCATGTGTTCCTAAAAATTAAACAGCAATAAACAAAAAGATAAATAAAACACTAAGAAGAAAAATAAACAATTGTACAAATTAAATTAAAATTTTTTAACACAAAATTTATTCTATGCTACTATAACTCTCTAAATGTAAAAACAGACTTAAGAAGTCAACAGATGACTTTCAGATGTATAAGAAGTTATGTATTGTAATATTTACTTCTCTTTGAGCTGGTTTTCCATCATGTCCTAGAGGACCACGGTTATTATTCCTTTGTAGGTTTCGCACAGGTCCAGGACCACCTGGGCCACTGGGTCTCTGTCCAAATGGTTTGTTTCCTGACCCAAAGTTATTTCCCATTTGTTTGTTGGCAGGTCCACCTTGACCCCAATTACCTTGCCTGTTACCTCCAAAGTTTCCGTTAATATTCTGCAATTAAAAATGTATATTATATAAAATGGTTATATATGGAATAAACTGTAATAAGTATCAATAATAAATAAAAATAGAAAACCAACCTTCTGTTGTTGATTTTGATTGTTGGGCATATTCTGATTAATATTTTGATTCTTTTGTTCTAAATTAGCAGCTCTGTCCACATTGTCCTGAGAATCCTGCTTAGATTGCGTATTTTGAATAGGCTTGGGCTGTTGTTGTTGTTGTATCTGCTGCTTAGGTTGTTGTTGTTGTTGTTGTTGCCCCTGCTGCTTGGATTGCTGCTGTTGTTGTATCTGTTGCTTGGGTTGTTGTTGAGATACCTGCTGTGGTTTTTGCTGTTGCTGTGGTGACTGTTTAATAGGTGTCTCAGGTTTCTGTTGTTGAGCTTGTTGCACCGGTTTCTGTTGTTGTTGCGGCTGTTGCTGCTGCTGCTGTTGCTGCTGAGGCTTCTCCGCAGGCTGGTTTTGTTTCAACGGCTATCATTAAAAAAATACATTATTTAAAAAATGAAAACACACTATACATAATAAAAAAAAACTCCAAATTCTTATAGTGTCCATGTGCTAATTTGCCAATCACTGTTGGTACTGAAACATTTTTACTTAAAACTAAAATACCTAGTAATGTTTCTAAAAAATAAGATGTTCTTTTTATTTTTGAATAGCAGAATGAATATTTAAAGTAAATAAATGTTTTCATGGTTGGCTGATAAGTTTACATTTTTTTTCTATCTCATGTTTTAAATATATCATTGACATTTTTTTTAAAGTTGCTTAAATGTGTTAATGCATCTGTTAACAATTTCTATGGAATTTGAAAATTAAAAATAAATATTTAGTCTAACTAGTCATACTGAAGTCATAGGCATATTTAAGAGGCAGCAGAGTGGGCAGTGTCCTGTCAGTTAGGGCACAATCCCTAGTCTTGTTGAATAAGTTAGGATCTAACATACAACCACCTATTCATTAAAAAGATTTAAATATTTTTCCTGTTGAGATATTCAGTACTTTTATTCAAATTTTATTAATTTTCTGCATATTATAGCCAGAAATACTTTGTTTTCTTTAATTAATAGGAAATACAAACCACAAATATGACAAGTATTTTATTTGCATAGTATCATATAGAGGTTAATTTTATGAACTGTGCTTGAGAATGATTAATCAACACTAATAAAATGTACACAAAGTTTTCACAAGTAGATCTCGATATTAATATACACACTAAACATGAGTCTATAATTAGCAAAAATGTAGACAAAAAGAGCAATGAGTTAAAAACTAGAAAATGGCCATTTTTAGAATTTTTTAAACACACATGATACTATCATACAATGACTTAAAATCCATCATAAGAGCATAATTTGGAGTTTATTCTTTGATATTATACCACCCCTTAAGGGTACCTTACTGAGATATTAAAATAACAATTTTTATCATTAAGTTGTTGGTAACTGGCACATTCAGCCTATATATAATAAATTTATAAGTGGGAGGAAAGAATTGTTAGTAATGCGGACTACCAGATGCATTGCTAGCAATATACTGTCATGTCCACCTCTATATACACCCCCTGGAAACCATCATGCTTAATTCCAAGTGTATTCATCAGGATGGGCTAAATGACCTGCCTTTTCATTCTCACCTATCATACCAATTGTGGTGACACGCCAGTGTATAAAGTTAGCGCAGGGGGAAATACCATTTCATTGATCTTCATTATAAATCAACTTATTATATTTGTTATATGTACAATGACACAAAAAAACAAATCAACAGAATTAAATAGGCGCATCAACCGTAGGTTTGATTTTCTACATCGATTCTTCCGATACCTCAAATAGCTTAGACTTTACGTTTCCAAGATGGCCGTAGTCGCAGCGTGTGCGAAGCGTCATTAATATTATTTCAATTCCATTCCTAAGATACCTATTAATTAAATAAGTAAGTTTATACGACCTTTGCTAAAATTTATAGTTTACTGAATGATAACTATATATTAAACCATTTACCTCATTACTAGGACGTTGACCTCCTTGACCATGATTCTGGTTCCTCTGGTTATTTTGGTCAAATCTAGAATTATTACGGAACCCTCCCCTGTTATTCCCTCTTCGGTTACCCTGTCTTTGCGGCTGAGGTGGCCCTCCAAAAGCTCTTTGATATTGATTCATAGCTTGCATTTTCACTGAAAACAAACTAATACAATTACTCAACTATAATTAGGAACTGTAAAATGGCAACAAAAAAATATAAAATAGATCATTTTAATTACATTAAATAAATATAATAAACACATAAACTTACCTGATTTACTTTTAAGATATTGCAGTTAACTTTCTTATTGTGACTTTAAATTTCAGATCGATGACTAACAGACACGCAAGAAGTGTAAGTAGTTATACAAGATGGTACCATTTCCGGCGTCCAGCAGTATTTTTTTAATCCCCTCCACATTGATATATACCATATCAAAAAAACGCTGATACACTTTATAAAGTAAAAATCTTGTAAAAAGAATGCACTACTTTTAAAGAAAAGTGATAAAATGTAATTTAATTAATTGTCCGGTTTCATGGTATAAAATGTTAAGGATTAATAGCGATTTCCCAATTAAAACCTAATATAAAATTAAAGTTAGCAACACTGGAATTTATTCTGAAGCACCATTTCTCTAAATCTATCTCTAAAATTAAAATTTCAATTCGATATAACAGCGAAATCTTTATTTTAATGACTAATCTGTAATAAATTTCTAATAGTTTTAAGGTAAATTGATATAAATTTAGTTTATAATGGTCCCTAATGACAGTAATTTCCCGAACTTATGAAAATAAAATATTAAAAAAAAAGAGAAATAGTCGATAATCAGACGGAAATGGCCAAATGATGTGTTTTTTTTTTTTTGTTGAAGTGTTCCGCGATTGATCACGATTGACTTTTTTTATGGGTATAAATGGAATGGTAACCCCGCCTGCGCTAACGGGATACGCTGGCGGAGCACCAGTGAGGGGTGATAGAGAAGATGAGAATGAAAACAGGCCAGTTAGCCCATCATGATGAATTCATCAGGAATTAACCATGATAGTTTCTAGGGGGAACCGCGAAGAGGTAGACCTAGTTGGGTATATTGCTAGTAATAGGATTCTCAGTCTCCATTACTCACAATCCCTTTCCCCCCATATCGCGATTGACTATAATCTCATCTGATTGAATGCAATGATGTGGTTTAAAATTGGAGCTCGCGGACCCACAAAAATTTCTAATAATCTTAGATTAAAAATAAATTTTAAGTAGAATCTTCAATGTAAAAAAAAAATATCTTTAAAAGTTTAAAACATAGTTTCTCTCAGGGATGCGTCAATTGGGATAATGGTGTTTTTATATGAATATATGTTACCATCTCTAGCAAATATTAAAAAAAACTGTTCTATTATAGCTAATGTGAATAGATGCCATGATAGTCATAATAATGACGCCATATATTAAAGTAATATATGTTTTGATAAATTACGCGATATGTATTTAGTGATATAATACAAAAAAAGTAATGTTTTTAGCACAATCTTCAATAGATTCAAAACGGTGAATAAACAATAATTATAATTACTAGTAATTTTAATTATAAGTACATTAAAGTCTGCGTGTATTATTTGTTAGGGACCTAAAAAAAACTAAATCTGTTGTGTTATATTAGTGCTACTACTACTTTCTCGCTGGTCATATTTCCATGTATATTTACTTCTAACAATGTAGATATTTAACTGCTACTCTAACATGATTTCATTAATTAACTCATTCATATAGTAGCGTAGCTAATTTCTATACTATATTATAATATTACCAATTTTAATTAATCTAAAAAAAATTACTAAAATCTATTTGTTATACTAGTTGTTCATACCGTGGCTGCTACTACTATTTCTCGATATAAATTAAAACTGATATAGTAAAAATATAAATAGTACTTAAAATGACACTAAATGGCAAAATTATTGAAGCTTCTTTATGGCCATAATGTAAATTTAAATTTGGTTACATATATCTGTTGATATTATTTTTTTATATGTTTTTTGTTTCTGTTGTCTTTTTAGTTGTCTCGTTGTATCTACACGTATATATTGTTGCTCTTAAGAATATTCTTTTTCACTGTGACCCAGACTGTGTCAAAAATATTAAATTAAAATATATTTGTTCTTGTCTTCTTGTTCATGTTTTGGTAAATTATGAAATAGCTAGGTTTAATAACAACAGTCGATATCGGTATTTTGGGTGGAAACATATATAGATACAACACCATGGATGTTCTTATCTTTTATAATTTTCATTGTACTGTTACTTAAAAAAGGTAACATGCATTTTTTCCAGGTTTCGTGAATATAAGATGGCTGGCAATGTATATAACGTAGTGACAGTGGTACGCAAATCCGAATATATTCCAGACAAATTATCTTTTTGAAGACTAGGCAGCATGGTCTCCGACCTTAGCCTGTTCCAAACGGAACAAACGTACTAAAAAAAAAAAAAAAAAAAAAACCCGAATGATTTTTATATACGAATAACTAGTAATTACTTATTTTATAATTCGACTTCTAAGTTAGTAATATACTAGTTTTAGTCTTCAAATGAATTTATTAATTAGTAGTTCGATTTAAACCACATTTTTTTTTTATTAATTTGTCCTTTCGGACAGACTACGTTTACACCACTAATAATAAAAACAAAGTCTATTTCCTATAAATATATATTATATTATATATAATATATAAATATATATTATATAACTAATGCCTTAACAATCAATGATAGACGAACAAGAATAAAAAAAGACATGGCTTACTTATTTCAAATTATTTTACAAAATTTATTGTTTAATGATACGTACACGAACAACTGCTAATTTGCTGATAATTAATGATTTTAGCGATTAAAAGAAGCGTGTTGTGAATGAATAAAATTAGTACTTAATTAATTTTAAAATTATTCGGATAATTTAAATTTTTTGGACAATCGAGTGATTTAAAAAAAAAGTACTAATCGACTACTAAAGTCGTAATTCGTGCATCACTATATATTTATTATTTTTTTCATTCGATTTATTAAACGTCTAAATATTAAATTAACTAAAAGTGTAAATAAACAAAGAAAAGTTAAGTTTTATTTATTGACGCTACTACACTACGTATTTTTTATTTAAAATTCCAGTAAAAATGGAAACAAACACTAATGAGAATGAAGCTCAAAATGTTCCTTCAAATATTATTATAAAGTATCCTCTACTTTCTTTTGAAAAAACCATTTTTATTGATGTATTTGAAAAGGATGCTCTTCTTATACTGGCCAAGTGAGATTATTAATTCTTAGTGTATTTTTTTCCTTTGAAAAATACTGTTTTCTATATTTATAAATGATTTTCAGGGGAATAAGTTACAATAATATAATAGCAAATCTTCTGTGGATTTACAAAGATCCCGGAAATTTAGTTCTTGTAATAAACAGTAGTGAACATGAAGAGAAATATTTAATGGAAAAATTTGGCCTTAATGCTTTACCTAATCTTGGATTAGAAAGGTAAATTTTTTACATTGTAAAATATTGTATTTACTATCTGGAAAGTAGTGTTTCACTGAAACTGTCCCTAAGAATACCTTTAAAAAATTAATATCTTTAGAATAAAACTTTTAAAAAATTAATATCTTTAGTTTCACAATATATACTATATATAAACATTTTGTATAAATGCAAGAACTATATATCCATTCATATAAAAAAAAGATTTTCCAAATTGGTTTATAACTGATGTATTTATGAGATAACAAATAAACTTTTTTTATTCTAATTTCTAATACACATGTCTATTCCAACCTCATAGGGAATGTCTGAAAGCTAGATTTGTCAATTCATCAGGGATACCTTAACCACAGATATAGGTGTTTGATATTGGGACAGCCAGGTTGACTGAGTGACAAAAAAAATTACAAGTAATTAAAGAACCTCCTCCTTTTTCTAAATTGGTTAAAAAACAATCATAATGTCTAGAACTAAACATAAGCTTCCTTTTCAAGAGAATCATTTAAAAAAAGTAAATAAGTCTTTTGTGGGGAAGAGTATTTATATTTATAATAAAATTAAATGTGTGGATTCACTCTTTACTAAATTTAAACGTTTACATTTTAAAAATTTAAATACCAAGACGCCTAGCTCTAAATGATCATGCATGGGATATTTATTTTCTATATTAAAAATTTTTTGCTTTCCATATTATCTTACTTTTAAATAATTGTTTCAATTGATATAAATTCATTGGCATAACTATACTATATATGACCCATAGTAAATTTATGAGATGGGGCACTCTCTTTGTCTAAAAAAATCTATGTTATACTTAGTCATTTTTATGTAATACGAGGTCTGTCCGGAAAGTTCGTATAAAAGTGTTCTGGAATGCGAGAAAGAGGAGTGGGGAGGCCAGGTAAGCGCAGGACCCCTTCCTTATGTCCCTAACAATGCTTCAGTTCTGGTCTGACCGCCGTGCGGTGCGAACTGGCTTGTCACGCCATCTGTGAAGTTACCTCTTAACGAAACCCCGTCGGCATGGAGCCCGCTTCCGTTGAAGAGCAGCGCGTCGTAATCAAGTTTCTCTCGAAACTCGGCAAGAATGGCCGTGAAATTTTTGCCGATCTCAGAACAGTTTATGGGGATGATGCTGTGAAGGAACCAACCGTCCACAAGGGGCTAAAAAGATTCAGAGAGGGCCGAGACAATGTTGATTGTTTTTTTCGATGTTCGGGGGATTGTCCATCAAGAATTCGTCCCTCCAGGCCAGACAGTTGATGGAAAATTCTACGTCGATGTGCTCAGACGCCTCAAAGCTCGTGTGGCACGAGTTCGTCCAGAATTGGCGCGAGAGGGGCGTTGGATTCTTCACCACGACAATGCCCCTGCCCACACCTCTCTTGTTGTCCGTGAGTTTTTGAGTAAAAATTCCATTACGGTGACCGAACACCCCCCTATTCGCCGGATTTGGCCCCGTGTGACTTCTTCTTGTTCCCAAAAACCAAATTGGTACTTCGGGGGCGGCATTTGGGGGACATAAATGAGATAAAAAAAGCTACGACGGGGCAGCTGAGAAACCTACAACCAGAGGACTTTCAAGGAGCCTTCTCACAGTGGAAACGGCGTTGGCACAAGTGCATTATGTCACAGGGGGAGTACTTTGAAGGGGATAAAATTGATTTACCTGAATAATTGTAAAATAAAATTTTTAAAAAACTTTTATACGTACTTTCCGGACAAACCTCGTATATCACAAAGTAGATATGCATATCTACACTATTACAATTAATGTCTATTTTTTACTTGAAAATACCTTATTGAAATCTTGATAAATTATTTATATAATTTGTGTATCATATCAGCCTTTAACTGTCCACTGCTGAACATAAGCCTTTCCCTTGGGGGTTTTTGTCAGTAGTTGCTATACTTAACAGGTGAATTGACAACTGCAGCTAGGCTTTAGAGATATTTTAAGAGGGATGCTGCTACCCATCTCTCACCCTCATCTAGACGTTTTTTACGACACCCATGGGAAAATTAATATTGTAATTCTTAATTTGATTAATTTTTTTTTAATTATGCAATTAATGTTAGATTCTTCCTGTGGTCATGATCATTCAAACACAGGGCCCACTCAGACTGTGTACCTGTGGCATTTTGCCCACTCTGCCATGCTATTGTTACACCACTGTATTTCTTCTAAATAAATCTTTATTTTAAGGACTAGCATGTTTTAAATTTATAAAAGAAATGAGTCAAACTTCTTTAAATCTCATTTAAGTAACATGTCCAATGATATTTATTTACACTAAGTTTTAGCACATAATATTTATATTGTATTTATTTCAGAGAGAAAAGTTACTTAGAGGGTGGTGTTCATTTGGTGTCAACAAGAATTTTAGTTGTGGATTTATTGAAAAATAGAATACCTATCTCTCATATAACAGGCATTATTGTCTTAAGAGCTCATACAGTATTAGAATCATGTCAAGAGGCATTCGCTTTGAGACTATACAGACAAAATAATAAGGTTCGGATTTTTTTTTATTAATTATTATCAAACCAATGCATTCCTGTGGTGTAAGAGTAATTGCAAAGAAACCAAATTGTCCTGTCTTGGTTGCATAGGGCATAGCACTGGAATGCTATGCACTATGAAACTGGTTCCAGTTCAACTGAAGGTAAATACAGGTATATGAACTGAATGTAGAAATAACTTTTAATAACTTAGTTTTGTAAGTTCTGTTGCTAATGCATTATGGATTTTGGTTTGAAATAAAGTATTTTTGTTCACTATTAATTGGAAATATTCAAATATTATAATTTCCGATACTGGTAAGTTTAAGTAATATTTTTTGTTTTTTTAGTATGGCAGTTCTTTATTTTCTTTCTATTTGGGTATAACTTCCAAAGGTTTATAGTTCCCGTAAATTAGAAGTTTATTTATAATTTATCGATATTTAAGTAAAAGAAATACATTTATTATATTCTTCAACAATATAGTGTATTGTAGAATCAATTCCCGATGACAACAATCGTGTTAAGTCTGGCAGCCAGCTCTTGATTTTAACTTAGGGATCTAGATATCTAGCTACAGAATAATAGGGACTCAAAATTAGATAGGTAAATTGTTCTCTCTTTTTTTATTTTTATATATTATCCTCACTTTTATTTTATACTAAATTATAAATTTTTGATACAGTCCAGTTTTAAAATGCTTTCTTTTTGTAATTGAAAGAAATTCAATTATTATTAATGCATTTGTCTATGCTAGTCGTTTCAGTAATTTTCTAATTACTGAAACGATTCCTCATTTAAGTATTATTTTTTATTTAAGTTAATAATAAATAATATTATTGTTATAGCATACTTACTGCCTACCCTAATGGGAGACAGGTGTAACAGATATGTATGTATAAACATTAAGTGTCTCAGGTGTTTATATAGTTACATATATAAAGTTTTATTGTTCCAGACAGGTTTTATCAAGGCATTTTCAAACTCTCCTGTTAGCTTCACCTTTGGTTATCACCAAGTGGAGAAAGTTATGAGGGCTTTATTTGTAACTGAATTATTTTTATGGCCCAGGTAAATATATTTATACATCATACCTATGATCTTTTTTTCTGTACTTGGCACAATTATTCAACAGTCTTAGCATGTCTATATCAAATTTAATAATTTAATATATATACAGAATTTAATATAATACAATAAATAATTGATTATAAATTGATAATGATTTAAGATATAGCTATAACTGACATTGCTGTAACTTTATTACTAAACGATTTATTAATTACTTCTGCAATATGAATATGAATAATTACAAACTGTAGAATATATTAAATAATAGTTTTTACTATGTAATTTATATAATACTAATTACAATTACAATATGAACAGATACACAATACAGAAAATATGTACCTATCGTGAAACAATATCAATGACTGAATAATATTATAACAAACTCTTAAACTATTTCTAAAGTGAATAAAAAGGTTGTCCTTTTCTCTCTTACTTGCTATGCCCAACATGAAGTTGAAATGTTATCTACCAATCACATTATGGAATTTATATTTATTCCTAGATATAATATATTATATACATATTATTTTCTCTGTTTCTTTATTCAGAGCTTTTATTTATATAAAAAAAAATTTAAAGTAACATTTTTAATTCAGGTTTCATGGTACAATAATTAAAAGTCTAAAGAGCAGGCAAGCACAAGTTGTTGAACTACATGTTAATCTAACTACGAATATGAGTAATATACAGACATGCCTCCTTGATATTATGAACTATACTGTGAAACAACTGAAGAGCATCAATAGAACGTTGGACATGAAGGTAAATTAGTGGAATTCGTCTTGTCTTCTGTTTGTATTCTTATATGACTAAAGTTATTTTTAATAAAACTTTGCGTATATTTAAACTTCCATTGCGATTATTTTTTACATTTTTACGCTCTTATTTACGCCATCTAATGTTAAGTAATGGGGTTCATTTTGAGGTGTAATTTTTCTAAACCTGTCTCTTATATTTTAGTTTCACGAATATTTGATAGTTTCACGAAAATATTTTTTTATGGATCGTCATAAACTAAATTAATAATAATTTTTATTTAAATTTATTAGACAATTAATTCATATTGATCCTAACAATAACGATTTTGCTGTGACTATCATATCAGACTGTCATAAACTATGAATTCTTAGAATAAATATGTCGCTGTGATATCAAATTCAAATTTTAATTCTAGGAGGTACTAATTAATAAAACAAAAATGTTTGCTTCTAGGAAATTACAACAGAAAATTGTGTTACGAAAAAATTCCACAAAATACTCCAATCTCAGTTAGACTGTGTATGGCATCAGCTAAGTACGAGAACAAAAGAATACATTCAAGATCTTAAAGTATTAAGAAGCATGATAATGTAAGTTTCTAATTGATATGTAATGTACTTAAACAATCTTATATATTACCTGTATTTCATGACATGCAATTTTTGGTTTTAGAAATCTTATTCATGACGACTCAGTGTCATTTTATGCTTTGGTAAGCAAATATAGAACTCCCGAATATGCTAAAGTAAACTCAGGCTGGATTCTTCTAGACTCTGCAGAGCAATTGTTTCGCTTAGCCAAAGGAAGGGTGTACAATAATAAAAATGGTAATTATTTAAAATGGCAATTAACTGTATATACCGAAATTTCGCGCCACATGAATAAGTATTACAAAAAAGTCTCTTGTATCTATGATCTATTTATAAATGAAATTTCGTAAAAATCCGATTAAGTATAATTGAATAACACATCTTAATACATTTTTACATTAATAATCTTTTTTTATACTATCTGGGAAAAAGCTAATAATCTAATGGCTTATTTGATGGAATTTGGTTTTTTGTAACCCAAGGATATGAACAGCATAATGTTAACTGTTTTAGCTTCTTAATTTGGGTTAAACTACTTTTTAAAATTACACCTCTCTACCTTGTAATTAGTTTCCCTTATGTGCTTATTTTATACTCAAAAAACCTCATACCATAATTGTGTTGCTATCTATATATAAACCTATAATATATACACTTATTATACAGGCTGTGAAGGATAGGTTGGCCAAAACGAAAACAGCTGATTCAGATTAATGGTCTGAATCAGATGACATTATTTTCCCACCGAAAATGCACCACAGCCATATAATTAACAATTCTTAATTTTAACGCCGCTCTATGTACCTACACACATCAAAAAAGTCTAAGCAACACATACAAATTTCAATTTTACAATGTGTTTTCGCATTAAATCCTTAGTATTTTCTTATTTATATTGTTTTTTAATGCTTGTTTGATATTAAACAACATTTTTTTTTAATAATTTTAGTTATCAATAATTATGAGTAAGTACTGTATGTACCTACGTAGTACAAAATAAGGTGCCTAATCAACTAAAATTAAATGGTTGCACAAAAATTGCATAAATTAATACAAAGTGTGGCCTCCTCTGTTATGAAGAACTTGCTGGCACCGATTATTCATAGAATCGATGAGACTGTTAATGTTATGCTGCGGCAATTACTCCCAATGAAATTTTAGTAAGTCCATCAGTTGTTGGGTTGTTGTCACTCCATCCAAGTCCTTTAAAACACGTCTCCGGAGCATGTCCCATGCATGCTCGATGGGGTTGAGGTCTAGCGATTGTGCAGGCCAAGGCAATACCAGGATGTTTTCCCTTGCCAAGTATTCTCGTGTGTGCAAAGCGTATGCGAACCCGCATTGTCATGCATCAACGTGAAATCGGAACCAAGCGTTTGTGCGAATGGACGGACCTAAGGCCTTAGAACATCCTCAACGTAAATTACAGCGTTCATGTTACAATTTACAAAAACGAGCTCAGTTCGTTTGTTCTTCATAATACCCGCCCATACCATAACTGTTGAACCGTTGTATGGATGCACTTTTTGAACGCACCTCAGCCTTTCAGTATTTCCAGGACGACGGTACACTCTTACCCTTCTAGTATCAGGCTTGAACCCAAATCGAAACTAATCGCAAAATAAAATTTTATCCCATTGTTCCCGGGTCTATTTAATGTGTTCCCTACACCATTCATTTCGACCAGTGCGATTCTCGTGACTTATTGGTGGGCACCTAATTAGGCACCCAATTGGAGTCGGGCTCGTAGGCCATACTCATGCAGTCGATTTCGCACAGTTTGGCAGCTAACAACAACACCACTTGAATTCTTGTAGCCTTAAACCTATCTCTCGAGCGGTTAACATCGGCTGGCGTCTTGCAGTCAGTTGTATATATCGATTTTGCCGTGTGGTTGTACACCTTCCTCGACCTGGGTGCTGCTCAGCAGGATCTCCCGTGTTAAAACAAATGATACTCGATTTTTTTTTACAACCAGCCATTATGTCTTCTAGATCAAAAAAGTTTACATAGGTTACCTACTTGGTAAGAAATGATATAATAATTAAATAAAAATTGAAAATAGTATGTGTTGCTTATGATTTTAAATGAAAAAAGCAGGAAAAAATTGAAATGTATAGGATAAAACTAACTAGGCACGTCAGTATTATCTTTTAAAATAATACTTACATTTATTCATGGTTGTAATATTGCTTTCAGAATTTGATCCAGAACCCACTCCAAAATGGAAATGCCTCAATGATTTATTATTAGAAGAGATTCCAGAAGAGGTAAAAAAGAAACAAGCTGGAAATATCAATAATACCAAAATATTAATACTCTGCCAAGACAATAGGACATGCTCACAACTAAATCACTATCTAACAATGGGTCCAAATAAATATTTGTTTTATACGGCCTTCAGAAGAGACTTGACTATCAATGCAGTAGCATCCAAATATAAGAAATTGAAAAATCCATGTGTCAAAATTGACAATAAAGACGAAAAACCTATCAAAATAAATAATAAAGAAGAAAAAGAACCTAAATCAAATACTAAACAAAATGTTACACATGACACAATGAAGTATGAATTAGAAGATAATGAAGAAGAATTCAATGCTGATGAATCAAAATCAAATTATGTTTTAACTTTAACACAAATGGCTTCTCAAATCAAAGGGGCAAAAGAATTGCCAAACGAGAGTATTTTTGAACCTATCTCTCAGGTATGTCAAATTGTTTTCATATATTCTATAGATATATACATATATGTCTTTTGAATATATTGGAACACACACAAATTTAATAATAAAAAAAATAATATTTTCAGATTGATAATTTAGACATAACTCAAATTGAAACTGAAAAACCAATTATTTTAATCCAAACATTCAAAGAAAGTGGTAACTTTTTTTCACTGGAGAAAACACTAGAATCTTTTCGCCCTGAATATATAATATTATATCATAATGATGTATCTGCTGTAAGGCAAATAGAACTGTTCGAAGCTAGAAAAGGGCCAGATGAATTAGTCAGTAAAGTTTATTTTATTGTATATGACAAAACTGTGGAAGAACAAGCTTATCTAACATCTTTGAAGAGAGAAAAACAGTCATTTGAATTACTGATAGAAACAAAAAGTGTAAGTAATGTGTAACATATTGAATGGTTTATATAGATGTAATTTTAATATACGTAATATGTCTTCACGCTAAGATCCTTATGGGAGATACAAATATACCAGAGGGAGACTTTGTACAAAAGTCGATTACTTGGGTACCTCTGTCCCATTCGTGTTTCTACCGTGAAGCAGTTGTGTTTGCAAGACTGTGTTTCGGTTTGAAGGATGAGATATAGCGTGAATTTACAGAGTACAGAGGAATAACATCTGAGTCCTCAGGAATGGCAACGCATGGGGGGTATCATGGGCGAAACAGTATACTCTGTTATGTCCATGGTACTGCTTATGTCTATAGGCGACCGTTACCACTTTCCATCAAGTGGGCTGTTAGCTTGTTTGCCATTCTAAGTTGTATAAAAAAAAAACATATACAGAGAGACCTCTGTGCCAAAGTGTCTTATATTTCCTTTCTTCCTTTCGTGTTAAATCCAATATTTATTCCTTTCGTGTTAAATCCAATATTTATGTAATAAAATATATACGACAGAAAGAAAACGTGGAATACATCTTTTGGTTTTTTCAATTTCATAAAGTGTTGCATACATACACGGCGATATCAGTCTTAGCTTTTCTATCAGAACGTACACAATCACGTCGTCTCCCTGCTATTTAAAACCAGTACCAATCCTATTATATTCGCATTATGTGTTGGAATACAATTATTAATATGTACTTCCAGGTTATGGTAGTGCCTTCGTATCAAGATGGAAAAACTGAAGAATATTTTAATTTAAATGTTGAAGATGAAAATGATTCTGTAGATACAAGAAAAGCAGGTAAATAAATTTTATAATTGCAGAAAGATTAAAATAAGCATAGCTCCATTGCTCTTTCAATTAAGAGATAAGTTAAAATTTGTAGGTGGACAAGTTACAAAGGAAAAACCGGTAGTCATAGTTGATATGAGAGAATTTCGTTCCGATCTTCCAGCATTACTTCATAAAAAAGGCATCAACATAGAACCAGTCACTATTGCGGTATGTTATTTTTTTCACTTAACTAATTTTACATCTGCATTCTTATACACAGAATTTCACTTTTATTAAAATTCTCCAAATGTGATTACTCAATTCCGAAGGAGAGTGAATTAAGAATATAAAAAATCTGATAAAATTAAATAGTTTCGTATATGTTTTCAGATCGGTGATTATATTCTCACGCCTGATATTTGTGTCGAGAGGAAATCAATATCAGATTTAATCGGATCTCTAAACTCTGGACGCCTGTATACACAATGTACCCAAATGTGTCGAAATTATAGTCGGCCGATACTGCTCATAGAGTTTGATCAGAATAAACCTTTCAATCTACAGGTATTACAAACAATTATTTTACACTTAGATTTTGTTTCAGAACAAAAATTAATTTTGATTTTCATCTAATTTTTTATGGTACTGACTCGGAACTAAACGCTTTTCTGCACAAGTAGCATTACATACACAGAATAAATATTATAACAGTAAATTTGAGAACCTCCTCTCCTTTGAAATCGATTGAAAACAATTTTGAATAAATATTCAAAATTGTTTAAATAAACCGCATATTAATATTGTCACGATAAAAGTCAGAGGGGCTACCTGCCAAGCTATTAACAAAAAACTTACACCATAGGCTTGTCCAAAAAAAGTGCGAAAAGAATTCGTAAACGTCTATATTTTATAAGTTCCGATAAATATTTGCAATCAGGTAGATCAGATACTTGTTTGTCACTGCGGTGGTATAATATATCTTTTATAAGGTGCGTTCATCGTTCACGCTAAATCAACAATCTTTAAATATATAATGTAGGTACCTACTTAGTTTACACAAAACTACAGCGGAGATGTGAGGGAGACAATGGTGAGTAGTGTAATATGTTCTGTAATATTCACATGTCTATAGGCGACAATTGCCGCATTTTATCTTGTTCACATCGTGATCACATCACTGTTAACTTTTTTTTTTATTTAATGTACTAAACATTTTGTACTGTACTTAAGATTTAACATTAATCAATTTGATTATTTGCTAGGGACATTTTGTAGTTTCAAGTGATCTATCAGGCGCTGATGTCCAACAAAAGTTACAGCTTCTCACAATACATTTCCCGAGATTGAAACTAGTATGGTCACCAAGTCCATATGCTACTGCTGAGCTTTTTTATGAACTCAAGGTAATTTACTACAATCTTATTATATGTACTTTTCGCTATGTAGGTCCCGGCATAGAATGGGCTACCCCTTCCTTTTCTGTGGGCGTCGTAAGAGTCGACTAAGGGAACTTATGGCAAAGGGTGGGCAGCAGCGTCCCTCTTAAAACATGATCAAAGGCCTCACTGCGGTTGTCAACCCACCTGCCAAGCGTGGCAGCTATTGGCAAAACTCCCTTATGTTATGAGGAAGGCTTATATTCAACAGCGGAAAGTTAATGGCTGTTATTATTATATCAGCCAACGTTTAACTTTTATAGTTTTTTATCCGTAACTTTAAAAATGTACCTTTTACTCGTATTTAATGTGCCCAATTTAAAGTTCAACGGGTAATTATAATTTAAATATAGTTTAACAGCTTAACAGTAAAAGCTGTATAATGAAACAAATTTATCAGTAGAAAATATTCTCAGTAACAGAAGTAACTAAGTAATTTGTATTTTCAAATGAAATTCCAATAATTGAACATAATTCCGATATGTGCAATTTTATTATTGTATTCTTTTGGAACACAACACTTGGACACTAACCACAAACTTTACTATGCAATTGTATAATTATAGTCCTGCTGATTTCTGACTTTTTTCCTGTAGTTTTTTTTTTATGCAACTTTGAATGGCAAACAAGTTGACGGCCCACCGGATGGAAAGTGGTAACCGTCGCCTATAGACATGAGCAGTACCATGGACATAACAGAGTTTGTTGTTTGTTTCGCCCATGATACCCCCCATGCGTCGACATTCCTGAGGACTCGGACTCTGTACCCTGTAAATTCACGCTATATCCCACCCTTCAAACCGAAACACAGCCATGCAAACACAACTGCTTCACGGTTGAAACACGAATGGGACAGAGGTGCCCAAGCAATCGACTTTTGTACAAAGTTTCCCTCTGGTAAAGAAACCTTTAAAACTTATGTTTTGGGAGCCATTAAAGCAGCATTATTATTTTGTAACCTTTTTTATTTTTACAGCAAGGCAGAAAAAATCCTAATGTTGCAGAGGTATTAGCCCTCAGTGGTGATAATACAGCAGACGATATGAACTATGAGCGATACAATATAGTAGTTCACGATTTTGTACAAAAACTACCTGGAGTTACGTCAAAAAACATAACTAGAATAATGAATAAAGGGATATCATTAGATAATTTAATAACATTAAACCAAGTAAGTATGCATGGAGAATAATAAAACAACCATTCAAAAATTGTCATGCTACAAAGTAGACAAATTATCTGCCGTTTCCATATTTGAAAATCTACTGTTAGGCATATTTATCTTTACTTAATGTTGGCGACAAACCTCTTTTTATATGAATTTCCCTTTATTTTAAGTAGGTACTAAAGCTGGCAAGTCTCAGATTATATTTATTTCTCCACCTACTACCTTTTAATGCATATCGCATACCTATGCAATTTATTTATATTTGTTCACCTTTTGTAGGAAGAACTAGAAACAATTATTGAAAACAAAAATGAAGCAGAAACATTGTATTCTATACTACATGTAAAAGCAACCCCAGCCGATTTAAATAAAGAAGATAAACTATTTGGGAAGAAGAAATTTGGGGGAAAGAATCTGTTTTATAATAAAAAATAGTCTAATTTTTAATCTTAATTTATTAAAACAGTAAAATTACAATTTCATATTTCAGTGGTCAATCAATGTATTGAAGTGTTTGTTACAATACTGATAAAAAAAATATTTTTACCATCTAAACTAGGGACGCGTTTCTAAGACTAAATGCAATTTAACGCCAAGGACCTTAAACAATCAAGACAATGATAATTAAGAACAAATTGTGTTAAGTTTCTAATAACTACCAATCTTCATATATATTATATATAAGCATAAATGTTGTGCATGATTTTTACCCAATTACACAAAACAAAGGAAGGTAATGTATTAAACAGCATATGTACGAGTATATTTGCTTACATTTGTCCTAATCTTGCAAGTGTCACTATAGTGTCTAGAACGATTTAAAGTTGTTTAGAAACCGTTTTTACATAAATTTTCAATGCTTATAATAAAGCTATGATTAAGTTCTTACATAATTGCAAAATAGTCTTATTAACGTGAAAAATAATTATTACAATTTAATAAAAATCTTAACGCTTAACCGAAACCTTAATTTCAATACTTTAAAATTTTATCCGTCATTAACTAATGCGTTACTTAATACAATGAGAAATAATTAGAAATACTTAATAGGTACAATATTATAGCGCCGGTCCCGGGGTAGAGCGAGAGGAGCGGTCGCTCTAGGCGCCAGATGGCAAGAGCGCTATAAACCTCAACGTGAAAAATAATTTCTGGGACAAATCATTTTGATAGCGCTTTTTGAGTGGCGCGGGAGTAGTGTAGTATTTGTATAGAAGCAAATTTCATAAATCTATTATGAAAATTTAGGAATTATTATTTACTTAAAACCTTTGATTATGAAGTATATTATAGATCGGTAACGTAAGAGAGAGAACCTGTATGTTAGAGTGAGATTCTTCTAACTTCCATTTCTTAGAGATCCCAAAGTGTCGATGACATCTTATCGATAGTATCTATTCAACAAGTTGACGAAGGCAACAGGCCGTTGCCTACATACGCAGCTATAATAATATATACAAATTAATTATATACATTAAAACAAAAACGAATTAAAAATAATTTAAGAATAACAAACGCAACAAAAGACGCAAAAAAAAAAGAAATTTCTACAATTAATTATTGTTAATCAATGGTAAAAAAAGAATTTAAGTCGGATAACATTTATAATATCATATATTGTATAGTCTTTAGAGATATTAGCTTTTAAAAATTTACGTTTTACTACATATGTACAATTTATTACATGTGTACTGCAGTTAAATAAATGAATAAACGTTTGCTAACTTTTAAGATTACTAATTGTTAAATAAAGTTGTTTGAACATTTTGAATTTGGATTTACTTTATAGTATCGATAAATCATATAAAGATAGAAAGGAGATGATACAGCACTGTTCCATGATCACACTTACATTTCACGAACACAAGTGTATTCACTGTTTAGTCTCGTTTTAGTGATTACATTTTCAGGTTGTTGGTACGTAAGTACGTTATACTAAGTCTATACATACATATACCGAAGTAGAATTTTCGTGAAGTGAAAACGTGGGCACCGAAAAACAATCTCGCTCTATCCTATTTAAAGGTTAGGGCCGGCGCTGAACATTACACGCAACTGGTCGGTGGTAGAAAATTTGTGATATGTCGGATTTTTTGTGACATAGACATGTTTACTTATTTTTTTTTTTTCATTGTACCACTAGTAAGAGTAATTTTTCTTTGTAAATCCTTTGTAATAGATACCTACAATAATTTATCAGATCAATAACGAGACAATAATTTTAAGCATAACATCTTGTCACAACAAAGTTCATTCAATTTTAATCAAACTTAATAAAAAATTGTATACAATTAAATTAGCCAATTGTACAACCAAACAATACTAGACTCCTATAAATCAACAAACAAGAATAAATAATTCATTATTAAATTATAGTACTTAAATTTATTGAGAAGTGCTTAATTACATGATATTATCTACGTTTAATGTATTTTATAACAAGAACATGCAATAGCCAACCGATGAGCAGTATCTTGGGGAATATTAACATTATGTACATGGAGATGTATGAGCAAGGTCACTCACGAATTTGATGATTCTTGTCCGTTAGAGGAACATAGATTACACTCATTAATGTTTTCACCGTTGTAGATCCATCAGCTGCTTTGTCAACCTTTTGGCAAAATTTATAATTTGTCAATATATAATAATAAAATGTTATGTTACACAAGAACTCATAATAACAATGGATACGCAACAACCACGCCACTAGTAGAATACGGGAAGTTATATACTTACATAGCATTGATCACATGTTAGTTATGAGTAAATAAATATTAGCATGGTTTAATTTAGTATATATTGAATTCTTGATGTACATTTTATGACATTATTTATTTCAATCCTATCTCTTTTATATTTTATTTTATATCTTTTTCTAATGAAACAGGTAGTACAAAGGTAAAAAAAATATGGCCTGGTGAATTAAATTTGAACAATTTTTCTAATAAGAATTTGCAAGTGCTGCATTCAACAGAATACCTTACAGATTTAGAACTTGCTTGATTATTATTATAATCGCATATTCATAATTTAATTACCTGTGTAAGATGCTGCTCACCACCCTCAGGACCAACTGGTACTATGAGTCGTCCACCAGGTTTTAGTTGCTCAATTAACTGCACCAACAAAATATATTATGAACAAATTGTATAGTGGGTAAAAATATAAATTGTGGTAACACTGAACATCAATCAATAGTGCTGATGCTGTTATAATTAAGTTATACACTTTTTACATTTCTATTATACTTTCGCTTGTCTATTTCACAGTATGCTACCTCTTTCTGGCATATTTGTATCATTTGTTTCAGTTATCTTCAAGGGACAGTCATTTTGGACAATGTATTCTCAATTGGTCAATAATAATTGTTGGATTGGCACCTGCCTAAATCTATTTTCGATGACTCCTTATAGTCGCAGGTTCCATCCTGATTTCTCTGTTGGCCATCCAAGTTGGATGTATCAGGATCCACTCTATACTATGCATTGCATTACAAGCCATGCTAGAAGTTACAAACAGGAAAGGCATCTGGTAAAGAAGAAGTACTGCAAGAATCCAGAGCTAAACATGCACAAGTAGTCTGGGGCAGTGATGAATGCTGCTTCTTCACAAACATAGGCCAAATTCCAATTCTATAACTTGTTCTAACATCTCATATACAACACAGTGTGAGGGTGATGTGCCCCCATAATTTGCTTGCCCTCACTGTCTCACCCACAAATAGTAATGTTAAGGGCTCAAAGTGTGATGCACCATCTGTCTGTAGATTTCATCAGTGGAACTATCTGTCTAGCAAAAACAATTATTCTGATGTAGGTAAAATTACATTTTACACAATTTAGCTTCCCCAATTATCAATTACTCATAATAGTAAAAAGGCTAGTTAGGAATCAAATCTTCTAAATATGCTTATTTAGATTTTACAACTGAACTCTTCATAAACAAAAATAACCTTGAATAAAAACTGTTAGTTACTAAAATAATTTCAAACCCAAATTTCATATAATGGAGTATTTGAAGTTGACAACAACAAGATAAAATATGAAAGCATTTAATTTTAACTAGAACTGAATACTGACATTTCAAATTATATTTATTAGATTTATAGATGTCCATATAAATTAATATCCAATAACTTACAGTTTGGGGTAAATTGGGTGCAGCAGCTCCGACATGAATTGCATTGAAAGGTGCTTCAGAAGGATAGCCTTGTCTCCCATCACCAACTAAAATAACAAATTTATTATTAATATCTATTATAATTTATACTGTTAGAAAAAAAAATATTATTGTTTAGAAATTAAATTACCAATCAATTTTATTCTTTCTGTAAGTAGGTTCGAATTATCATTTTTTATATTTTTTGTTGCTAAATTTACTAGTTCTGGTATGTGTTCAATGCCCACTACTCTTCCACTTTCTCCCAGCATAACAGCCATGCATGCTGTCAGGTAGCCACTCCCTGAGCCTACATCCAGTGCCTTCTCACCAGGAGTCAATTGATTTTTTAATCTCTCTAATGCATGAGCATGCTAAAAAACATTAAATATATGATTTATAAAAACATATTCAATATTATTACTGGAAAATGACTATGATTTGAATATAATGTGAATTGCACAGTACAGCAATAAAAAGTGTGTGTAGTAACAATTTTGTATTGTTTACTACTCACATGTTTTATTTAAAGAATTGGAACAATTATAGAATTGTTCCAATTCTTTACTTATAAACTAGTATGCATTTTTTTACTATTACGAAAATATACAAATACATAAATAAGCTAATGTATAATTAGCCACAACCAAACATGACTATATAAGCAATTATTGGCTATCATAATCATTAAAATTATTTTGAAGACAAACATGTTATTCCCACACTAACCATATGAGGTGCACTGATAGTAGCAGAATATCCAATAGACTGAGGTGAATCATGGTATGGAGCATAAGGACAGTAATTTTTTCGATCAACTGCCATCATTGCATTCGCTACAGCATCTGATTTTATAATCCCATTCGCTGCAATTATAATGCATACAAGAATCAAAGGCAATTTAAAAAATAATTACCAGCAGATTCACTAATGTTTATTGCAATTTTAGTAAAGCTTAATAGATATATAGTTACAGGTGAAAATGGTTTTTCACATGCAATGTTATTATGATTATCAAACACAAATATAGTCCTTTTTATACTTAACATATTATCAGAGATATCAAAAGCTTCAAATATCAAAGTAAATAAACAAATTGCATATTTTTCATTATAAAATCATGATAATTTCTTTTATTCTTAAATATAATAGTATAAGAAACAATTACCATCATCAAAAATATATAAATAAATTGGAACAGTGTGGCAGTGCTTTCAAAGTACTAGCAGCATTAACCCACTGTATAAACAAACTTCGCTAATACTTTTGTCTAAACAAAACAATGGTGACAATTACCACATTCTATCTTGTTTACATCACTGTTAGTTAATTTTTAACATAATAAATGCTATATAGGTAACTTATAATCTAACATTGATTAATTTAATTATTTGTTAAGGACATTTTATAGTTTCAAGTGATCTATTAGGTGTTGATGTCCAACAAAAGTTACAGCTTCTCATAATACATATCCCAAGATTGAAACTAGTATGGTCACCAAGTTCATATGCCATTACTGAGTAGGGTTGCCAACTTTTTTTTACAAGAAGTATATTTAGGTCTGAGAAGAATATTAAACAGTATTTTAGAAAAAAATTACAGTATTATATTTATTTAATATTTTACATACATACTTTTTAGAGTTTCTTGCACAACTTAGTCTTTTTTTAAAAAACTTCATATACTTCACCACAATTATAACTAAAATTAAAATAAATGAGGAGCTTATTTTTTATTTAATTAATCTGCACTGAGCACCCTTTGAAAAAATTTAAAGAAAATTGTGTGAACCTCTAACTCTTATAGTGTTAAGCATTTTGATACTGAAAACAGTTTTTTGTATATTTTATTTTTGTTAAACAAAAAAAAGTATAATGTAGTGATAAACAGTCAATACTGTTTTTAACAGTATAGTTGGCAACCTTATTAATCAGCTTTTTTACGAACTGAAGTTAATTTACTATAATCTTACTATAACTTTCATAATGATTTTTATACGTACCCTTAAAAATGTACCTTTTATTCAAGCTCAGCTATTTTGTCCAAGGGAAGCCCCAGATATTGACTACAAATTATTAGTAAAATCACTCTTGTTGGGTACCTAGGTCCAAACAGCCTTGTCTTGTTAAAAAGAAATCTTACCTCGTAAATTTCGAACCATATCTGCATTGTTTACCCCATGACTTCTCCAAGCCATATTGGATGGAATTATGTTCACAAGAAAAATTTATCCCATGAACAACTTCTTAATCCCACTTGTTAATTTATATAAAAGAAATTGTTAGAAATTGATAGATAGATATAAAAATGTCAAATATGAGAAAAAAACAGATTCAAATAGAAATATGACATTGATTGATTAACTACTAATGATTTTTTTTTTTTTAGTACGTTTGTTCCGTTTGGAACAGGCTAAGGTCGGAGACCATGCTGCCTAGTCTTCAAAAAGATAATTTGTCTGGAATACTACTAATGATATTTTGCAACAGTGTTACTATATGTAATTTTCAATTTGTACCCAAATTTTTATATTTTTTCCCTTTATCTAATTTATACGATTTTTTCCCTTTTACTCAATCTCAAACATCAATTTTCTATGCGATCACAATGTGAATGATGAAAAAAACCTTTTTCTTAGTTGACTTCTTCACTCATCTCATGGTACTTTTATTGGTATATTATATGAATTAACAAAGACAAATACCAAAACTGTCAAGATAATTATCTAAATTTCTTCACATCTTTTACACAAATATTTCCATCAGTTTTCTATAATTGCGAAAAAAATACGCAAAATTAAAACATTCTGTATCTGACAACACTAGTGTTACCAAATATAAGCTGTTCTATTTTTGCTTATATGGTTAAAAAAAAATTCTTTTAATAATAAATGAAACTAACTGTTTCTTTGATCCGCTTACTTATTAAAAAGAAACGCTAAGGATTTTGGATTTTGTAATCCCATTTTATAGCGTTGCCAAATTGGGCATGTTTTTCGCAATTATAAACAAAACATGCAGAAGAGTGGATTTGGAGAAATTGGGGTAACATTTTAGGCAATTTTGGTACTTGTAAACTATGTCGAGATATAAAAATACAGTAAAATATGAAGGAAGTTAGCAAAACAGAAAATGGAATAGAGAAGGGAAAGATAAAATAAGCTAAAAGCCCTTTTTTCGTCATTCGCCTTGTGGCGTAAGCCAAAACGTAATAAAAAAATTATACAAATTGTAATTACCTACAGTTCTATTGATTTGGCGAAAACATATTTGACGTTTGGGTAAAAATCAACATCCGCATGTGCTAACCCAGTAATTTTGACATATCTAATTGTCTAAGTTTTAATTCCAGACAAATTATCTTTTTGAAGACTAGGCAGCATGGTCTCCGACCTTAGCCTGTTCCAAACGGAACAAACGTACTAAAAAAAAAAAAAAAAAAAAATTGTCTAAGTTTTAACTACATTGAAGTCTATTTATTTTCATAAATATTTGTCGCATTTTTCTTTTCTTTTGCTATAACGGAGTGATACATACTCTTTATTTGGTTCTCCAGTGTTTAAAGATATATATATATATATATAAAATGGTATGTGAAGGTCCAGATCCCCCAGACAATAGTCCTCATGATATTACTCCTCCTCCTCGACACGACTTGATGATGAACGGGATTCACGAGGATAGCGACGATGAGCAAAACGAATATTTTGGTTATGAACCTTTACCTCAAGGACCTGACACGATGCATTCTGATCATGAGAGCGACGAAGAAACAGAGGTAATATCCATTTACTTAGAAAACAACTGTCTGTTTCTGGGGGAAAAGTATTGTTAGTAATGAGGTCTAATAGCCCTATTGCTAGTAACATACCCTATCAAATCGACCTTTACGTGGTTCCCCCTAGAAACCATCGTGGTTAAGTGTTGTCAAATTTTCAGGGTGGTCCAATTGATCTACATTCATCATTATTTTTCATCACTCACTGTTGCTTCGCCAGTGTATATCGATAGCACAGGCGAGATTACACCCATTAAAAAAACCTATTGCCAATTGTCTATTTAAAACATATACTTTGGTATATATATTGTTTAATATATTTTGTAAACTAAAGCACACAATTCATGTTGCAGTTGTGGATTATTTTAGAGAAATAATACTGTTTTTTATCTAAATAAGATGAACACCATGATATATATTTTTAAAGTATTTGCTTTACAAAGATTAAAAAAAGATCAAAAATGTATTTAGTTGATATTGTCAAATCAAATACTCATCTTACCTATCCTACCTTATTTCAAAATCTCGATTTTGAATTACAAAACAAATTAATTTAGAATAAAAAAATCTGTAACAAAGGTAGTTCACTCCTGGAAAAAATATATTTTAGAAATTAATTTTAACTTAATCTTTGTAAAAACAAAGATAAATTTATTCTACTTAATTAGTTAATAGTCCATAGGGTATATTAAATATATTATGAATCCTTACAGAATAATGAAGAAAGACTATCCGTAAACAATTATGTTCCTCCAATAGAGAGTATGGATACAACTCTTACTAGAGAAGTTTGGAATACACCACATCCAGAAGACTCTATACAGATGGATAATGAACGTGCCCAACAGGTATCTCATTTAACAAATTCAGTATATATCCTTATAATGAAATCATATTATAAAATACATATTTTCGCAATTAAGTTATAAGTAAAAATAAATTCAAATTGAAATTTAAGTTTACTTTGACAAAGCAGTTATTTTAAGAAACTAGTGAAAAGATTTTTTATCTTAGACAATTTATGTATGTTAGATATCTGCCCTATGTCTAAAATAACTTTTTAAGTTAATTCTCATTTATTTATTAGTATATTTAATAAATTCTCAAAAATCAAAATATGTACAAACAACATTTTATTTCAAAATGATGATCTTCATTTTTGGAAATTTGTATCTATTTTTTCTTACTAACTTTTGCTATATACTATACATTTTTATTTTACTTTTTGCTATTTTCTCATACTAATTTTTACTACAGTTATATCTCGAATTTTACACTGTTTATTAATTGTTTAATAAAGCCTTAGAAGACTTAAGAGAACAAACACTCATTCTTCCCTTAATCTTTTATGAAATATGATTTATGAGCATCATTTTTTTCAAACACTTCAGCTTGAGAAAATTTCAGGTAAAAATACTTTATCATAATATATAATAAGATTTGTTACTTATTTTATCTTTACATAAAAATTCCAGGTAATGTCTGCAATGGCAAACTTTGCATTACCACAAACATCAATACCTGACTGGGCCAAAAGTATAACAGAAGAACAATGGAAGCAGACACTAAATGACAGGATAGAAATACTGAAAAGTAACAGATAAAATAACTAAGTTTTTTCTTAATGTTTATTTTTAATTTTATCAATAATATTAAAAAAATATATTAAAAAAAATAGTAATTGAAATAATTATTTATGAAGCCATCTTAAGTATACTCTATGCCAGATGCAAAAACAAGTTCTGTGCAAAATTCTCAAATTTCCTTGTCATATTATTATACTAGCTTATGTTGAAATTAAAAAGTGATAAGCTAATACAATTTTAATCTCTATCTGTAAGTATACAATATGCAAAAATATATAATTTACAGATTGGTAAATAAGATACCTGGAGTTAAGGGATTATGCAGTTGGGTTACAGCTCCTAATTCATGTGCTTAAGTACTGTACATTTTTGCATTTCCTTAATTTCTAAGTAAGACAAACTTGTTTGTAAAGATAATGATTTAATTGAATCCATACACTACAAAAAGTGCAATTTTATAATTTACTAATAATTTATTATTATAAAGTATTAAATAGAAAATTTAAGGAAGCATGTCTATGTTTCATCTATTTTTACCATAATGTTTCTTACATTATGGTAAAAAATGGGTCTCCTTTTTTATTACATTCTATAGAGATTATGGTGTATATATAACCTAGTTATTAAGTACTTAGTTATGTATATGATTTGTTAATCCTACGTATGAAAATAAATGTATGGCATAGTAATGTACACATGTCTTTTATTTTCTTCTTAATTCAAATATTATAGTGTGCATAACATTATTTCTAAATTAAACAATAGACTTAATTAAGGGTATGTAGTTGATTTTTTCAAGTACTACACAACAGTCAAGCAGTTCATTCTATTTGTCTGATAATAATTCATAAATAGCCACCATAAGCCATGAATGAATGCTTGCAACACCAGAGATATAATTGGCGCGTTGCGAACATAAAGAAAATAGTAAAAGTATAGTATGACTAGCGGCCCGTCCCGGCTTCGCACGGATGGACATTTTTATAACATTTTGCATTTTTATCTAATCCTACCTACCTACCTATTCTATGTATCTATTTATATTATATATCTATTTCATAGATGTGCCCGCCCCTACCTTTCCCTCTCCTGTACTGCTACAATACCTGGCTAGCTTACCACGAGGTCGACCCGGCTCGGGCGGCGGGCGACGCCTTTCTACAATATCTTTCGAATATAATATACCTACGGTTTGAAAAATTCAAAAAGTAATCTGCAGGTATTGTAACAAATTTAAATACAAAATAATTTATTTAGAAAAGGATTAATAAATTGGTATGAATAACATGTACAACGCGACATCGTTATTTTTTCTATTTATATGACTTATAAAATTCGTAATATTTGTTGAATGGAATAGCCGGTTTGAACAATTCAAACATAAATTGAAACAGTTTATTTAGATAAGGATTTAAAAAGAAGTATGAATAACATGATGTAATTTTGGTCGGTATTTCTATCAACTTTTAAAATGCAAAAAGTGGTTATTGTGACATAGCGATAAAAGTTGAACATATAGTATCGTGAATTTTTTTGTAGTTACTGATATTTTCTTCAATATTGTAGAATAAATTTTTGTTCTATCACCAATACTTTCCGCAGCGCACGTGACGAAAGATATAGCATTTTTTTACATCTTGAGTTACGTTACTAAAGTTTTAGTAAGGATCTCTAATCTTTTCTAACAATAAATATAGCCTATGTTACTCAGAGTGAAAGTAGCTTTCTAATGGTGAAAGAATTTTTGAAATCGGCAAAGTAGCTTTTGAGTTTATTCATTACAAGCATACATACACACAAAAATACAAATCTTTCCCCTTTATAATATTAGTGTAGATAGTAGATACTAAAAGATCATATTTGCCTACCCATCACGGTCATATTTCACCATTTGAACCGGAATATATGCAAGCAATCTGGCTACTTAGTAATAATACACGACAGTCTTCTTTTTTAATCATATAGTCTTCCAAGTTATTTCCAAGAGTTAAGTTTAATATAAGTCAAGCGAGATTTAATAGGCCCGCGGTTTCCCATGGAAACCATCGTGTTTAATTTTTAATTCATTACGATAGATCAACTGACCTGTTTCATCCTCATTGTTCAAAATGAACCTAAAAATGTTCATGTATGTAAAAACATACATTAATAACTGAGTTTTTATAAAAAAAATTAAACAAATGAATTATAAACAAAATATATATTACATCAAGTCAACAGACGGCATTTTTATTTACAATTAATATAAATAATAATATATTACAACAAGAACTAGCATATTTTATAACCACTCATCATCATCCCTCACTGGTCCCTTCCCTGTCAGCGTATACTGATAGCGCAGGCAGGGTTACCATTTCATTTTCATTAATTAAAAACACCCTCCGATGAATTGTCCTTGTGTTCTGCAAAATGGTTCGTTCGAATAAAAATGGGAACTTCCAAATACTATAAATGTAATATTTTTTAATTTAACTTGTTTTATTCATAAATTTTATAATACTTTCAGTGTTCCCTATGTATAGGTATTATTGCATATATAATACTTTTTGTATTTTATTTCTAATTTAAATGATTAAGTAAATACGATCCGCAGAAAATCTGAAGTCACCGACATGATCTGCAAGCTGAAGTGGCAATGGATCAGCTATATTGTGCGAGCAACTAATAATCGATGGTAAAAAAAGGTTTTCAAGTGATGACCTCTTGCAGCAAACTTAGTATTAGGCGACTTCCACGAATTAAAGTGATGATCTCAATAGTGTTGTAAGCAGGCGCTAGATGCAGGTGGCACAGGATTGTAATCTGCGGCTTAATATGAGAGTGATTCAAGTTCAACAGTGGACAATGGATAGGTTGTAATGTCGACGATAATGATGTAAATACGATAAATAGGCTTTTAATAAATTTAAACATATCAGTCGACGCATAGAAATTATTTAAACCACACAAAGAATTAATTAAACCATATACTACTGGTACCGACATTCATAAGCAATATCCATAGAGATTTTTTTTATATACAGTCATTATCTGACCATGATAACGAGGTCAAGGTGAGTTGGGTTATCGGCTATTATTATAGCTATCTATAGTTACGTATGAAATCAACATAATAAGTTATTATGTTTGTTTCAAATGAAAAAAAGAGAACAAATTTAAATACAGATAATATAAATATTTATATATTTGAATATTTTTTTACAGAAGTAGCAGAATAAATTATCGGTCAATATGGTAATTTAAAAGGCCGGCAATGCACAAGCAACTTCTGTCGCGTTGCAGGTGTTCATGGGCGACGGTAGCCGTTTTCTATTAGGTGGACCGTCTGCTCGTTTGCCTCCCTAACAATAAAAAAGTTCCTACCTATACAGAGAATTATTCGCTGAATAACTATTTTATTAAAAATTTAAAAAGCCTCAACACAAACATAAAAAGAGCTGATGACCTTGAAACGCCTGAACAGAGCGGTCACGAGCTGATCACGTCAATTTTAACCACAAAATTAATAAAATCGGGCCATTCAGACAGACTGATTAAACTTATAACACCACTCCTTTTATATCGGGGGCTAAAAATAATGAGCATAAGATATCTCTAGTGTTACAGTATCTATAATCCCGTAGACTACGGTAAATAAATACTTATTTCTATCATGTAAACTGTATGGCTATGCTTATTTGCCGCCTTGCATCTTTTGTGTACTAAAACAAGAAATGATACTTGTATTTATGAAAAATGTATTGTGATTTATACATTAGGATTAAATATGATTGCACTGAATGTAACGAGCTTAGTCTTCTCATTTCTAATAAATAAATAAAACGGTGAATCGGCGTAGAATAATTCTGCTGAACGAGTCGTTACTGCGCTGGTCGCAGCCACAGCTTCAGTACCGAATTCTAAAAATAAAAGTTTTAATGTCAGTATACTATCAAGTCCATAGATATATCTAAACAAATTTATATCTTAATTCTTTACTTTGACAAATTAGTTTTTTTTTTCAAACACCTTTGAAAACAAGAAGTGCTCAATTCGAAATCTATATATATTTTGAAAATATTGGTTATATATTTTTTTTTTATATTTGTTACCTTATAACGCCGTCAGTTGTAATCCGATTTATAATTTTTTCTACCTGTAAGAATATACTTACAGATTGATCCTATAGAAATTCTATCAGATTAGATTTAGTAGTTTAGTTTTGAAAACAAAATAACTGGTAGTGCCACAAATAAATTCTGTTTTTTTTTTTTGTGGAATACAATTTAAAAATGTTTAAAAATGATTCAAAATTATAAAATATCTATAGTCAACAATAATAACTATATGATAAAACATTAAAGAGAAACTGTTTGAGAAAAAAGACTTTAATTGTGATAAAATCTGTTATTTTGATCTAAATACTAAACTATTAAATGTACTTTGTTAAAATTTTTATGGAATTATTCTGTATATATATCCTTTCAGATAAAAAACAATTTTCCAAATTGGTTTAGAACTGACGGAATTATGAGATAGCAAACATAAAAAAAAAACACGATCGAATTGAGAACCTCCTTTGAAGTTGGTTGAAAAATGTTTAAAGAATAGTAGTGAATATCCAACTTAAATATGTTTTTCATTGATTGTTTATTGAAAATATAGCCTTATCTATAATCAGTATGATTTTTAAACTTTCAACTTACCATTAACAGTCATCTTCACTTCATGTATCACAGAGTCGACATGCACCCCAGGATTGACTAGCTCGTCGACTAACTCTTTCAATCCTCTTGCTTCTAATTCTCCCGTATTTATTCGCCCAATCAGTTCAGATTCAGTTTTATTGACTACATTATTACCATCTACCATAAGAGCAAAATTTGCTTCATCAGGGTTGAACATAGTATTCACTCCTAGAGATTTCAATGGAGCTTTCAGTTTGAAGTTACTCTGGAGTTCCATTTTAGGAAATCTTATTACACAATTTCTTTTAACCATTCGATTTATTAAACTTTCAATTTTAGCGTAATCCAATTTATTCAACAGATCAAATAAGCTCAAACGTTTTGGTATCCGGGGTTTAAGAGCGTACATTGTGGTCATACTATCATTATAAGGAAATGCCACCATATGTAATTCTAAAACAAAATAATATAGGTATCTAGTTTATAAAGGTATCTATATAGTCAAGTATACCTCACCAGAGGGAGACTTTGTACAAAAGTCGATTGCTTGGGTACCTCTGTCCCATTCGTGTTTCAAACGTAAAGCAGTTGTATTTGCATGACTGTGTTTCGGTTTGAAGGGTGGGATATGGCGTGAATTTACAGGGTACAGAGGAATAACACCTGAGTCCTCAGGAATAGCAACGCATGGGGGGTATCATGTGCGAAACAGTATACTCTGTTATGTCCATGGTACTGCTCATGTCTATAGGCGACGGTTACCACTTTCCATCAGGTGGGCCGTCAGCTTGTTTGCCATTCTAAGTTGTATAAAAAAAAAAAAAAAAAAAAAAAAAAAAAAAAAAAAAAAAAAAAAAAAAATACGTGAGTACAAGGATTTATAATTTACGTTGGAAACTTACGATCTTCCATAGAAAATATGTAATCAAAATTTCCAAAATTTGCCATGAGCTCTGCCGTAATTTCTTCTGTTGGTGTTTTGAAAGGCAATCTGTAACAATTATACATAAATTTATGTGTGTATATAAAAGTATATTTATAACTCGTGACTTTGCCCGTATGAATCAGTAAGCATATAAAGTATCCTATGTTCTAAATTAAGATATACCTATTTGAATAGTAAATTTCATTCCAATCCGTTTAATAGTTTTTTTTTTTATTTTTGCGTGAAAGATTTACCAACCATCCGTAATCTATCAATTTTCTTAAACTATCTCATTGATATTAGTAGTACGATGGATATTAAGTTATGAGATATGTTGCATATGACCAATGTTTACTATTAAATACCAAACCATAATAAAAAATAATCTCTTTTGTAGTCATGTAAAAATCCATAAACACGAACCTAGATCTCGCCTCATATATATATATATATATATATATATATATATATATATATATATATATATATATATATATATATATATATATATATATATATATATATATATATATATATATATATATATATATATAAAATAATGTATTTTTAAATGTTGTGGGCAAGGGTGGACTTATCTCTGACAGAGATCTATGCTTAAAACTCAGAAGCTTGCGTATACTATTATTATTAGTCTATTTTAAGATTGATTAGACGATTAATTAGTGCTTGATTATCAAGCTACTTAGTGCAGATCTTAGCAAGAAGTCCAACTGCTTGACCGAAATTTTGGAATCGATAGCGTAGATCCTTTTTAGGGTTCCGTACCAAAAAGGTACAAAGGAACCCTTATCGTGCGGCTGTCCGCCCATCCGTCCCTTTACCACAGCGTTATATTGTAGCAACTACTAATACTATCGATTTGAAATTTGGTATCGTTATACATATTGTTGGTCCACACATATTAGGGTCAAAATAGTTAAAAAATATTGTTATTTTATTTTTAGTCCAAAAAAGTATTTACTTACTCAAAATTTCAAAATTTCAAAATTTGTCTACTAATCTAAATAAGGTATCATGTGAAAAGGCCATCGTAATTTTTTACTTATGAAACAAAAAATCTGAAATAATTACAATTTATGAAGGTATATGTAAATATTACAGGAAAAACAAAACAAAGTAACTAACACCGTTTTTGGGAAATTATCAAAAAAATATGAGAAATGCAGGAAAGGTCCTTTTATTTCATATTTATATACGGAGTCATTGGCGTGTAAGTTCAACTCGCACCTGACCGGTCTTATTTTGTTCCAAGGAAATTGCCGGGCGCCGTTTATTTCTACGTTCACAACGAAAATTTTTACGTTCTTACGTTCCATATTATATGAAATGATGTTGAAACTTTGACATTCTTCTAAAATTGACTCAGAAGTGTTAATAATATTTTTATGAATGCGGTATTGAATTTGAAATTGAATTAAATATTGGCATTACTTTTTCTCTAAATTTGGACTTAATGTAGATAAGTAACAGACACTTTGACTTACTTTTTTGTAAATTCTGGCAGAAAAGGTGTTTTCCATTGTCCACTAAAATAGTGCGCACTCAGTAAAACTACTTTCGTCGATTCGGGAAGTGTTTGCGGTAGAAATTCTTCTATTTTATCTTTTGTATGCTCTTTCACCCATCTGAAAATTTTAATAGATGTGTTTTCGATAATTTAACTAAACACTATTTATACATGTCCATAAGCAATCAATCTCACTGATTTCATTTCATCCTTATATATTATATGGCTACAGATTACAAATATATATTATATATTTGTAATCTGTAGCCAGAGAGACTTTAAGTTCTTCAGATATATTGTCAGAGGAAATCCGAATAGCTCGGAAAGCTAATAATATGTGGTTGTATGCAGCGACGGCCTTACCAATTGCGAGGCTCCGGACGGCTGTAGGATTTAGGTAGGTCTATCCTATCTATCATATTTGACGAGTGAAATGTTAAAGTTACATAAATAAATAAAATTTTAGTTTTAATATTATATATATATATATATATATATATATATATATATATATATATATATATATATATATATATATATATATGATAATTTTTCGCTGTTTCAAGAAAACTTTGTATATATTAGTATTGGTAATTTTGTTCATTCCTAATTAAAATGTCTAAAAAGGAAGTTTTTGCAACTTGCCACTAGACAAAATGCCACTCACTGATTATTTAAAATTTGCTTAGGTTGTTACGCGAGGCCCCTGCAAGAGCGAGGCCCCGAGCGATTGCCCTGTTGGCCACCCCCTAAGGCCACCACTGGTTGTATGGAGTATGTAACTTACAAGAATTGTATGTATTATAGTAGGATATAATAGTACAAGATAATATACATATATCGGTCTATACTATACCTATTGTTTATCTAGAAGAAGAAGTACGTGCCACTAGAAATATGTTGAGTCTGACACATGATCTTCTACCACAGCTATACAAAAAGATATTATAGGAATGGATGATACCAGTGAGACATAAATATTCATTTCGATCGGTTTCGTACGTGTGAATTTAAAAAGTTGGAAAACTACGAATTAATTACTTATAGATAACGTATTAAAATAAAACATACTTACACCAGACCGTCAGGAACACAATCACGAAAATTGCATCCAATTTGGTGCTTTAGTTTTTACCGGAACAAACATATAGACAGACAAACAAAATTTCTAAAAATAAAGTCAATATGTAGATGTGACTATATATTACACACAACACACCTAAGATTACGCTCATTATAATTAAATATATACTAAGAATGGATAATATATAGTAATATCTATATATTGCAGTTACAATATTTATATATTGGCCAAATAACCAATATATTAATTATCGGTTACCAAATTTCATGACGATTGATTGAATTGTTGTCAATAATTACAAACAAATTTATTATTTACATTATTATTACGGATATCGTGTTATTGTCATAAAAAAATATTACGTATATTTTTCTATTAGCGAGTAATGCTTTTTTTTTGCTTTATACTTATTTGTGCTTATACTACGAAAAGTTTACGTTTATATTTAGTTTAATAATCAACTTCCAAGCACTTTTTGATGAAACAACTCTGCAAAATTAACTACTCTTTTTCATTGCGCTAATTTAAGGAGGTAGTGGGGAAAAAAAGGTAAAGCTACGCCCATGCAGCCCAAAGTCAGTACGAATGAAGTGCCTTAAAATGTAGATATTGTATTATGTTTTTAAATATAAAACTGTACTCATTTGGTAATTAAATTTTTGGTAAAAAAATTAATGACAGAAATAGTAAATAAATATGTTACAGTACCTAAATACATACATACAGTAAATGTACCTGTAACTAGGTACTTCTTTTTAACAAAGATGAACAAAACAGAAGTTATGGATGCTAAAGGTGTAATTATTATTTTTTTATTCTTACATATAATTAATGAGGAGTCTATACAGAGTCAAGAGTAACTTAACAGTTAATAATTACTCACTCATTAATCACCTGTCTAGCCTTGACTCTGTCGCTGAACTCGGTACTGAGTGCCTCGCCATGGTACACCATTTCCAAATAATTCCGGTAAACTTCACGCAGGCGCGTATCTTTGTCCACAAATATGGCATCCGCGTACGTCGTCTTGGATGACGTATTCGTGTTGAGAGCTTGCAGAAGTTTCCCAAATTGTTCGTGGTTTTTACGATTCGTTAATATGTCTATATAAGATAGATAATCTTTATTGTTTCCTCCAAAATATTACATTAGTAAACTTATTTTAAATACAAACAATTTCAAAAACAGAATGGACGGCCTTATCGCTAAGAGCGATCTCTTACAGACAATCTTTGAATAGAGAATAGTAATAAAATTATAAAACATTATTATTAAGTATAAGATTGATTGATTTCTCGTATTATTTGATATTTTACGATTTAAAATTAATTAATGATATATACAAACACAATACAATATGTATTTATACATTTGTACGTGTTTTATTATGATTAATGTAAATAATATCAGGTAATATCGAGTTATAAACTTACCATTTGAAAATCCTAAAACTTTGGCTATTTCGTCATAAGTTTTTCCAACGCTACCTAGAAGAATCATTGCCAGAACGCCTGTGAAAAACATTTACGTCTTATATCAATGTATGTATTATATATAATATAAATGAACAACAATGTACACGATGACAAGAATATGAGCGGTAAATACAGTCCTGGGAGGAAACTAAAAGTCAGTTGACCTTCAGTTTGGCACTTAGAAAAAAGGCGATTATGTGTGTGTTGGCCTCACCAACAAAATTCCATATGTACTTAAAACCTATGTTCAGCAGTGGACAGTTAACAGTGGGTATGATGATGAAAATAAAAATCAGAAATTGCAAAATTATATTTGGTAAAACACTTACTTGATATACTCATTGGTGATATCGCTATATTCAAATTTTCATCGTTCTGTTTCATTATTTCAATCATTAATTTATATCCAAAGTTATTCAAAGATTGTGCCAATCGTTCGTCATCAATTGATTCCTCTGTTGTTGTTCTTCAAATAATATAAAGATATAATAAGATATAATATAATATGTTCTACATAAATATGCATGTGTATGTAATGAAACTACAGACAATATTCATCTATCTGTCTTGTTTTTTTTATATTATCTACGCAATTATTATACGGTAAACAAGCATACAGCAAGTGGTAAATGGGGTTACCGTAGCCTATGGACGCCTGTAACACCAGGAATGTCAGGTGCGCGTTGCCGATCTTTAAGAAACCTTGATACACTCTTTTTGAAGAACCTCATGCTGTAGTCTTTAGGGAAAGCTTCGGCAGGAAATGTATTCCACAACCTAAATGTTGGCGGGAGGAAGCTCCTCTGAAACCGCACTATGTGTGACCATTCTGGTTCTAAGGTATGAGGGTGGATTTATTACACTAAAGCGAATAATTTATTCAAGTCTGCTGTTTGATCAAAAGTGCTATTCTTACGCCGTAATTATGTCAACACACCTATTTAATTAAGTGGTTAATAAAGTGAAAACTGGCAAAAAATGACATAGTTATACTTATTATGGATTTATTAATTTACCTGTACTCTTCATTCGTTTCTTGACCAAATAAAGGGCAACCTATCATAAGGATAATTCCGAAAAACTTCCAGTCCATGGCTTTTTATCTGAAATTGTATAAATACCTACTTTTAAAAGAAGTACTACTTACTACTTTTAAAAGAAACATGGGTTGAAAAACCACACACATTTTTGAGCTTTTTAATACATCTCATTCAGGATTTAAATTTTGTAAGTGTGAAAAGACGTTGTCGTGGTGCAAGAAAATGCGACTGAACAATGAGTAAACAAATAGTGGTGTACTATTTATATATTTACTACACAGCTTTAACACTCTTTTGGTCCTTAAGATCCTTGATATAATTACACCTCGGACACTTCATATACCATAAAAACGCCATGATCCGTAATCATCGTAACTACAAAAATAAGTAATATCTGTACAGTGTACGGTTGTAGTTAGCACTTTAATATTAAAAAAGGTCTTTAAATTATCGAGTATGCATGCATGACACCTTAGTTCTAAGTACAAATCCCACAAGAATTAATCACTATGGGTTCGACAGAGAACCGCATGGACGTTCACCTGATAGGGTATATTGGTAGCAATGGGGAGTAACAATCCTTTCTCTCAACATTTATGAGTAGTGCCATAGGTGTCACAGTATATTCTGGGAGATACATAGTATTTTTTGTCAATTAAAAACAGTAATTCTTTTGAATTAGGTAGGTTAACATGTATTATTATTTTGGTTGTTATCTAAGTGGTCACTTCCAAAAGAAATATAAGGTTAATGCAACGCAACGGTAGTCGATATCGAATTTTAAATAACTCGATTTCGACAAAAATTTTGACTAGATAGTTATCCTCTTCATACTTCGTAAATATTGTAACCTAACATTGGCAATTGAGGGGGGAAGGGATTGTTAGTAATGCGGATTATTAGTCCCATTGCTAACAATATACCCTAACAGGTCGACCTCCCCGTGGTCCCCCCTGAAAACCATCGTGCTGAATTCCAAGTGTATTTATCACGATGGGCTAACTGACCTGCCTCTTCATCCTCACCTATCATCCTTCACTGGTGCCCCGCCAGCGTATACCGTTAGCGCAGGCGAGGTTACCATTCCATTATCATTCATTAAAAAAAAAAAACATTGGCAACTGAGTATAGACAAAAGACATCCATTATATTTTAAATGCCTAAAAAGTAATAAATCCGATTACAAATTAAGATGTTTTTGGATTTTAAGTAAAATAAAACATTAATGTGTAAATTTAAGAACATTATTACTAATAAATACTAATGAACCAAAAAGTTCGAAATTATTATTATTAATTTATCTAGTCCTGTGATAACTCTTGTATATTTTTTGGCACTCTGGTATTTTTTTAAATAGGTGCACATTTAATGGTAACCCCGCTTCCATTATCGGTATACACTAGCGGGGCATCAGTGAAGGATGATAGGTGAGGATGAAACTAGATCAGTTGATCCATCACGACGAATTTGGCAGTAATTAATCACGATGGTTTCCAGGGGGAACCGCGAAAAGGTCGACCTGACAAGGTATGTTGCTAGCAATGAGAATTAACGTCCCCATTATTAACAATCCCTCTCCCCCGCACTTTGGTATTAGGTAGGCCTCTATTTTGTGGTAAGAGATATTAGAGATAAATTTAATAGAAATTATAAAATCACAGATACCTTCTAAGGGTAAAAATACGTTTATAAGACAGGATTTATTAAAACTTAATTTTTCCTAGAAAGGTAGATATAAAATATTTTACTACCTAGGTAATAAAAAGTCATGTTTACGTGTGTAACGTGACTTTTTGTAACAAACAAGAACAAGATAAATATAAACAAGTTTTACCTACCTGAGTTCTATAGACACACAGACAACAAAACACACGAAAACGAAAGTTTACACCTACTTTGTTATATAGGTATAATGTATCCTATCTATCTATATACCTATTAGAACAAAATTTTTTTTTTTATTTAGATGGTAATTTTTTCTTATAACACACAGAATCAATACACAATTTACAGCAATTAAGATCAAGTAATACGACTCTACAGACGGGACGACAAGCTGCGAAAGCGAGTCTGCGCTGAACGTTGATTGTGATGTAGTGACCGTAACGTTAGGTACAATGTTTGACGAAAATGACCGACCAAATTGGTTATTTTTGCATTATGACGGGTATTTAACTAGGTAATACCATTTATTATCAAATCTCTACGACATTTTGAATTTTACTAGTACTTAAATCAATAACACTTAATTTCTTTCTAGGACAGTAACATTTTACATGTTCTTTTTCTAAATAATTTATATTCTTTTTAAATAGGTTCATATCTATTTACTTACCATTAAAATATACATTTATACGTATACAATTTCTTTTAAATTACAAGTAACCAAATTAAATCCAAATGTAGAACGGCCTTCAAGTATCTAACGCCGTTCTACGTTTGAATTAGGTGACAAATCATCATCATATCATCCTTTAACTGTCCACTGCTGAACATTTATAAATAAATAAATAGGCCTTCCCTTCAGGGGGTTTTGCTAACAGTTACCACGCTTAGCAGGCGGATTGATAACCGGATTGGCAGTTTATTTTTTTTAATGGGTGATAATGGAATAGTAACCCCGCCTGCGCCATCGGTATACGCTGGCGGGGCACTAGTTTTTTTTTTGTCTAGTCTGCTAATTGGCAATCTGTTCCTTATAGAACAATAATCCAATCTGCTGTTTGGATGTCAGGTTTAAATTTTGTTAATAAATGATGAGGCCAATCCATTAACCAGCTCTCAGTTTCTGCCTGTAAATCTTTCTACCAGTCCTTGGATACTGTGTCTTTTTAATCGAGAGAAACTAATGCTTCCCGATCCCTGTAATTGAGCGGTCAATTCATTTATATGGCTGTTCAATCTGGACTGATAGTTTTTGCTGGATGTCTCGATTTCCTGTTTTATCGTTTTCAGTTTGATGTCCATATACATAAATTTATTACTTATATATTGTGGTATATTAAGCATGTGGCGGGGCACCAGTAAGGGATGATAGGTGACGCTGAAAGCAGGTCAATGGGTTTTTTTTTAATGGATGATAATGGAATGGTAACCCCACCCGCGCTATCGGTATACACCGGCGAGGCACCAGTGAAGGATGATAGATGAGGATGAAGTAGGTCAGTTAGCCCATCGTGACGAATTCAACGAGAATTGTTCACGATGGTTTCCAGGGGGAACCATGTGGAGGTCGACCTAATAAGGCATATTGATAGCAATGGGGCTGTCAAACCCCATTACTAACAATCCCTTTCCCCTCAAGATCAATGGGTTACCATCGTGACGAATTCCACTATTATTAACCACGGTGGTTTCCAGGGGGAACCACGTGAAGGTCGACCTGTTAGTAATGGGTTTGTTGGATCTCACTACTGACAATCCCTATATCCCCTGGCAACCGCAATTCGGCTTTTAGAGAGGTTTTGAAAGGGACGCTGCTGTCCATCACTTGGTCGCCTTTTACGACACCCACAGGAATGGTAGGGTGGCCCAATCTATGTCGGGACCACGCAACTAAAGTGATAAATATTGAACCTATTATTGGAACAAATTTCTCGGATTTTACAGTCCAGTTACAATTTTATTATATTATTAGGAAAGTTATTAAGAGAAATATGACTTGAATTTTAATCAAAATATCTACAGCTAAAAACACGTGCAATCTATGATTTTAATATATTTTGATGCAAAACGTAGAAATACACATTTGTGAACATCTGGGGTCTAATTGTCATGAGAAGATACAGCACATTTGCGTAAGTAGTAATTTTTATTATTTTGAAATTTCTGATATTTCTTCAAATATATCATCTGTCTGTTTATCTTTTAAGTCCATTACCCTAAATGCACTTTTTTTTTCAGAAAAATTCGCGACGTCGACAGGTTGTAGATGATCTTAAAAAGAGATGATAAATAAAACACCAAAATATGAATGTTTTATAAATATTCGTAAATATAGGTCAAATGTGGTACAATTAAAATCCGAGGAAATATTTTTATCAATTTCATATCAAAAGGAAACATCCATGGATTATTTTCTACACTTTATCTTAACTATTGACTGCAAAAAATGTTACACGATAACTATATATATACGTACAATTAGGAACATGAGCTTACGAAGGATAGAGTGAACCTTGTGGATATATTTTAAACCACATTAATCGCCAATATGAAATGTATAATTTGCATATAAAATTTTTTTATAATTTGATATCAGTACCTAAGAATGGGATCTTAATTAACCGCACCACGCTTACAGATAATGGAATTAATTCTGAAGTACCATTCCTCTTAAATTATCTCTAATTAAAATTTTTATTTGGTAGTCTAGCGAAACTATTATGGACCACCGAAAAAACTATTTCTCGACGGTCCATAACATATATATGTAAAGTATGTTGCATGCATAGAAAGTAGTTCTAAATTAACTCTATTGCATCAGTTTATACTGGCACTTAAAATTATCGTTTCGCTGTAATATCAAAAATCAAAAATGGTGCTTTAGAATTGATCCTAATGTGTGCTATGAATGTCTCATACAAAAACTATCTGGGTACAATACAACCAAATATGGTCCAAGATCCAAGCCTAAAAATTAATTTCTGATTTAATAAAACATATTCACCCTATCACGAATTTATATGCTAGACTCGTCATGAAAATCTTTAAACTCGGAAAACTAATAACTTTTAACCAAATACAACTGTATGTAAATGCGATATAAATTAATTATAATGATCATATTTTTAGATACACAATACAAATTACTCTTCCTTTAAATCAGTTTATAGGACAATAACATTATAAATACGATAGAGTGTAGAAAATAGAAATATTCACATTAATAACGCTTAAAACCAATAAAACATGGCACAAGTAATAAAGCATTATTTTTGCGGTAGATATTTACGACGCGACGTGCAAAATATTCAAATCCAAACTAGTATTTAGTTTTGCGCCGCTAACTCACACTTTATTTACTTGGATTTCCTCTAAAACATCCATTGAAATATCAAGAGATATTTCAATATATATATTAAGATTTATATGGTACTTTGTCACAATTTATATGTGAATGCTTTTTAAATTACAGTGTTTTGATTAGTTTTATATAAAAATGTAGAAAATAAGAGAATTAAAAAATATTCACAATACTAGAGCAAAATAATTTATAATCAAGTAGATACCTACTATATTTATCTAGACTAGAAAAATATGTACATTTTTATTTAAGAATGTCATCCAATAATGAAATATTGCAGAAGTAAAACAAAACATAAAAAATCAACTGCATCAGTCTATATAAAAATTTACTAGAAAGTAAATGGATTTGAATGTTTTATTGGTTTTAGCTCTACAACGAACTATAAATAATTCGTTAAGCTTACAGATGATTATCATTTACAACTAATTAATAAGAAATAACCATTTTAATACTTTAAGACATAAATAATAACACATTTTAAACAATTTAACTTGTTTTCTTTGACTTAAAATCTCTTATTACTATTTTGACTACACTAATAGTTTAACCAAGTCCATTATGTTACATTTTAAACTATCCTATACTGACATAATGTAAAGGCGGTAGGCAGACAACTCCTTACGACTATGGACTCAGGAACAGAGTGTATAAGATATTACATTCAAATGTAATACCACAATCGGATTTAATTGCAAAATTTGTCAACACAAAACATTAATTCGAAAAACTAAATAAAATAACTAATAATAGATAGCTAGCTTTGAACTTATCTCAATAAGTTCACCATGCACATACACAGCGGAATTTAAGTGAAATTTATCAGATGGTTTAATCTGAGACTTTTTCCATTCAGATCCCAAATGGCGTTTACTATTCAGAGATAAATTAACTGTTATACATATTGTTAAAAAACAAGAATTGAAAATAGCATTTATTTAGCTCAGTGTCAAAGTAGTTGTATTTTGGATTGTAGAGAAAACAAGTCTTAGTGGAATTGTACATATACACTTACTTGTATTTTAATTATTCCCTCCACATTCCATTTCTTCATGGTGGGTTATATTGTTACATCATACAAAACACTGACATGTCATATATAATTGTTTGTATTTTATACTTTATATATTTTATACTTTTTCATATATATATATATATATATATATATAAATAAATATAATATAAAATATATGTATGTATATATATATGTAATGATCGTAATTAAATATATTTGTTTTTGATACTGACAACTTTAAGGCCAATTATTTAAAACATAAAAAAAATACAGTCTTTACAGTATTTTCTATGTATAATATAAATTCAAATTAGAGGTGGGTATTTAGCAATTACAATATATTGTAGGTACAATATAGTATGTAATACCTACAATATATAGACACCGTTATATATTGGTCCAATGGTGATGACCTTTTTTCCCGCCAGAGGAACCTAAAGTCCAAAGGAACCTAATATATAGATATCGGACCGGTACCAATATTACCCATACCTAATTTAAAGATGTGGTTAAAAAATATTTCTATCAGTCAGTTATCTAGTACCCATAGTATAAGCTCTGCTTCATTTAGGACCAGACATCGTTATATAATTATGTCCAGTGGTATTTATTGAAATATGGGTCAAGAAGACTGTAAAAACGAATACAAATTACACAATTTCTGACAAAGTATCAAATACATATTTATATTTTTAATTCTACTGCTAACAAACTATTAAGTGACATAAAATTAAAATATTAATTTATACATTATTATTTTTAAATGTCTTGATAGTAATTGTATTCATTTATTATACACATTCATTATATATTTAATTAAGACCATTCAGGTCTGTGAATTTAAAATTACCACTACCACGCAACTATTATATTACGAAATTATTGAACAAATGCATAATTAAACGTCTTCTCAACATACATTGTGGTTTAGATCCAACAGAATTAAAGAGATTATGTAAAATTTTCTTTTTAAAGTTACAGACTTTTTTACTCATAAACAAGATAGACAAATTTATTGCTACATGACCTTGTGATTAAAACTAAATCTCTATCATACTGTTAGATCACTCAGTAAACACATGCAGACAACCACTCACATGTCACACTACAAATAATGGCTCGACCTAGCATAACTTAATAATGAATAAATGATCAGTCTTAATTTGTTTATCCACTACTCAGGATCAGTGCTATTTTAGTAAGCAAATTATAGTAACTCACTCTGTTACTGAGTCAAACTTAAAATAAGGTACATTCAAAACTTATAAGACACAGTATAACAAAAGCACTGCAGGTTCAAATATCAACAAAAAGTCAGCACATTAAATTACATTACCTAAATTGTGGATTTACAATCTATCCACACATTAAAATTCTTAGAAGCAAATAAAGTGAAACATACTGTTCACTTCAATATTTAGATTGCAGGGATTGATGATTAAATCATCCCCTGATTTAATTGTAGATTTACCTAACCTTGGGATTTTCAATAAGTGTAGGTTTAATAAGTTAAACAGTATATCAGAAGTACTTATATTTACGAAGGGTACCTATTTATCGACACTTAACAGAGAGATGATCTAATAGAGGTTTTAATGAAAGAATGCTTAATACAAGCAATATATAATTATACTAACAAGTTAATTGAATACAATATACTCGGCTTGTTTCAATTAACTATATCTCATGAATATTAACTCCTTACATTAAGAGAAAATCCAAAAACATGGAATGATCTAAAATTTCAGTGTTCACCAGCGACAGTAGTACAGCTCACAATCACCAATAAATTTTTAATGAAAGTCAATTACATATACGGGCACTGGGCATTTTTGTAAAATTTGCAATAACACCACATTAATAATCTGTACTTATTTGTTTATACTATGTCAACATATTGAATAAAATAATTAAAAATCTTCATAAAAGCATAGTAGATATCAGTGACGTCCTGTAGCCGCATGCCTACATAATTACCTACTTATATCAAATTTCCTTCCTATAAATGCTTGATTTTTTTAAAAACCAGATGAACAAATATTGCTGCAAGATAATTTTATTTTACCAACAATACACCATCAATTTCATATCCTTTATTGCTCCTCTAAAGTTGTTACTTTATTGATTTGCGTATTTTACTCCTTTTCCAATTTTATTAGGTAGTAGGAAAAAATATCACAAAGCTTAATTTCCTATACAAGAACTTTCACTCTAACATAATGATCACCTAATTCCTATACCTTCTCTATAGACGTCGAGAGTCAATATTGGCACGCGGCATTTTGTATTACCATATCTTTCTTCACTTAGTCTTATTCAAGTCAGTCAATCCTCCATTCATTCATACAACACCACCAGGGTCTAAACAAGCAGTAAACATTCAACTGATAATTTACATTTGAGACTAAACTAAGCACAGCGCCGACGTCATTTAAGACAACACAATCTGCTAATAATTATTGATTTGACTTCAATGCATAAGAAAATAAAAAAGACGCAGACTTATCGATTCGTCACTTTGGAAAATATAATTAAATAACTAAAATTTTAAAACTATATTCGAGGAGGGTCAGGAGTACTAAGGAAGTGTTTACGAGTCGAAAGTCTAAATTGCTTTTAACGTAATCACGAATGTTTCACTACTATGACGCCGGGCCGTGGCGGCGGCGCTCGCTCTACTTTCTTCGTTAGAGCGAGCGGCGCATCACCTGTTTCCTCGCGAAATAGATGATCACCTTCTAAATGACGAATAGCTTCCACAATTGTTTCTAAATTCTGACGACTTGTATTTGGGATGTAGAGACGTGGGTCGTGTGATGCTTCTGGTAAAACCTCAACTTCAACACGAGGTTCAGCTTTAATTGCGGCTTCGAGAAGAGGCGCAGCAGGCTGCTCGATGGGATTAGGAGCTTCCACTTCATCTTTCTCCACCTTACACTCTGTGACATTAGTTTGTTCATAATGAATTATAGGTCGTGGTAAGTCATGACTAGCTGTATCAGGATAGATTTGAATTTCAAGTGCATGTAATCTATCTTCAAGCAGCCGCCGTAGTCGCCGCTCACGGTCTAATTGAGCACGCAATTCACTATTGTCTGAGTCCTTTTTCTGTGATACACTCGATACAGTGATGACAGCAACAGGTTCTGGTGACCGAGAATTTGCAACTGTTTCATCTGTAGAGTCTGGTATTATAGAGGGTACATGTGTAATAATTTCATTTTTTCTCTTTTTTAATGGTATTTCACCTCCTTCATGCTGATTTAACAGTCTTTTAAGCTGACAGTTTTGAGATAACAATCTTGTTTTTTCTTGTTCTAGAGAGTAGATGTATTCAGCTGTTTGTTGTAGTATAGCAGCCTGCAAAATTGATTGATATAATTAACACAGAAAAGGAAAAAGTTGAAAAACATGCCCATGGAGCATATTTTTCAACTTATATATACTTGACACAAAAAACATAATTTTATTATTATATTCAGCAAAAAGAAGCTCTTTATTGTCACAAATACAGGAATATTTAGATCCTCATTTTTTTTTAAAGTTGCTTAAAAAATAAAAAACAATATGAAAAAAGTAACATGAGAATAATAACAAAAAAAGTAAATATATACTTTGCTAAGTTTCTCTCCTTCATGGCGAGGTAACAATGTACGAAGAGCTTGAAAACCAGCATTGATGCTCTGCATCCGTCGGCGTTCATTGCTGTTAGCAATTTCCCGTCGGATTCTCTTCTCTGCTTCCATTGTCTTACTTCCAGTTGCAGTTTGTTTTTCACTTCTGTAATTTATTATGAAAACAAGAATTAAGCAACCAACTTTACATGATTAAGATCTTTTCAGATATATTCTAGTCTATAGAAATATTATTATTCAAAAATAATAAATTTGTTTTGGACACCCTTTTAATATTATAAATGTAAAAATTTGTAAGGATGGATGGGTATTTGTTAGTCTTTCACATAAAAACTACTGAAAAGGTTTGAATGAAATTTGATACATGGGTAATAATGTAAGTTATGTCTTCATTTAGCACATAAAATTCATATGGGTAAAGCCACAGGATGTAATTAGTACTTAAATAAAAATTAACTGTTTTTGCTACCACCATGGTTCACATATCTACTACCACTACATATACATTTTATTATTATATATATATGCTATTCTTAGTGACTATAATTGCAATATATCACCTTTTTAAATAACTGATAAAGTGATTTTAAAGAAAATTAATTATCACTAACATTAACTTTTGTCATAAAATATTTACATAAAAAATTTATTTCAATCTAGAGTGGGTGGCAATTAATGTAGATGTATATTTTATATATACATCTACATATGTAGTCAAAATTACTGGGACTTAGTAGAACTCTTGGGGGCATGGGACGTATAAATGAATGGCACTACTACTGTACTGATTTTGATGCCTATTTCTATGATGTTGACCATCCACTTTACGCAAATTTTCATAATTCTATATGTACCAAAGTGAGAATTTGTACAAAAGTCACCTATGTAGGTAAATCTGTCCTATTCATGTTTCTGCCGTAAAGCAGTTGTGTTTGGATAGCTATTTCAATTTAAAAGATGGGATATGCCAAAAAAGTTACAGTGTACAGAGGCATGACACCTTAGTTCTCAGGAATGGCAATGATTGATAGGTATACTCTGTTATTTTCATTATACTATTCATGTTTATAGGCAATAGATACCACTTTTTATGAGATGGACCATCAAGTTGTTTACTTTTGACCATTTTTTATATATCATATTATAAAAAATTCAATAAAAATAAGGTAGAGCTAGTAAAAAAATAAGGTAAATAGCTAAAGATGATAGATTGATTATTAATATTGTTTTTATTTATTATACCGCTCTTTAAGAGGTAGTTTTAGACATGGGCAAAAGTGTTTTTGAAGTGGCAGTTGAGGGACAGAAGCTTACAAACTAGCCAATACATATTTAAAATTACTGCTTTTTGGACAAGTATATGTATAATAATAATAAATAATTTTTAATCAAGTAAACTTAATAATATGTGGATGATTTCATATTTACATACCTATGTGTAATATGTGTATTGCTATATCAGTATATTCTATATTAATATACTACAAGAGATTTGATTGGTCAACAAGAATTATAATTATAATTAATATGCTTATACATTTTGATCAATCGCAAATATCATGACAGAATTTTTTTTAATATAGAGACAGGTCAATGTTTACAAAGTTTCACATGTTATATTTATTTTTATAATCTTTTTATTATTTATTTATAGTTTATTGTTATCAATAATAAAACAAAAATATTATGCTTTAATATTGTATTAAAATAAATGCAACTTTTAGAAAAAATACCATAAAATGTATTTTATGTAATTTTTTATATATGTTTATTTATAATAAAAATTTCTCTATTTCATTAAAAATGAGTTATTAGCTCATTTATTATTAGTTGTTTTCATAACTTTGCCCACATAACAATAATATATAAAGTATGCTGTATTAAGGAGTAATATATGTGACAGTAGATACCCTTAACCAATCTTACTTAGGCATTGAAGTATGATTAAGACACAAACATCTTTACAAGCTTTCAAATTGTAATATTAATACATAATGCGAAAATAAACATGTATAGATGTTTGTCTAGAGATGTTTTATGATTGATGTTGCATTACCGCCTATGATTTACTTTTATTTAATTATAATATAATATAGTAACAAATATTAGTGGTATATCTTCTATTATGAAGATTGTGGTACATATTACATTAAGTACATACCTATGATTATTGGTAAATTAAAAATATTTATAAAAAAGAAAGATTCTAGTAATCAGGATAGAAATGTCAGTATAATATTTATTGCAATAAGGGTATCCACTGACTAAAGTTTTTAAGTAATTTCTATAAAAAGTTGGTGTTGATAACACCAAACATTGTTGACAAACATTTGAGAGTACATTTCTTTGCTATGAATATCTAATACAGCAATGGTAAATATTTTCTCAAATATAATTGGATAAGTATAGTTAAAAATGCAATTGCCCAACAGAGAAATTTGTTTTGTAAATTGTGATAATGCCAAAATAGGATATAGAACATCAGTTATGACAAATTGTATCTTATAAAGTTAAACGTTAAAAAAAAGTTATGAATGGTTGTATTTACGTTAAATCATAATACATGTGTTTGATAGTACGTTATTATCGCGACAGATAGGTAGGGGCGCCTACTACGCCTATTTGATTTGACCAAACATGGCGGCCCAACAGCTGACTACAGACCGGCACGTAGAGCGAGCGTCATTACATAGTTCGCTTAACTACTTGTATAATATGAAAATACAATGTGTTTTAGTTTGAAGCAAAATATTCAAGTCAGTTTAGGACGTAAAAATAACAATAAACTGAAAATGAAGCATAAAATAGTAAACCACGCCGGCCGATCTTACCTAGAAAAAGCGTGATCCGATGCCTCTTCTTCGTACAAGTTGTAATCTTCTACTTCTAGCAAACAAACATCATTACCGTGTAATGACATAACTTGGGTGCAGCAAATATCACTTTTACGAGTTCTTCATATAAACGAGCACCAAAATCCTCAAGAAAATCAGTTTTTCACTGGAGCCACAATGGCGGGAAATGACAATGAACTCAGTCAGGTGACGCCACACAAGTTTATAAAACACTGTGTTAAAAACACTAAATCACTGTCTATAACATAATTACACATATAAAAAGTAAGAAAAAAGATTTTCAATGGTTAAAAAGTGAGAACTTTTGAAAAACACCAATTAAATTGGAGGGAGTCAAGGGCAACGCGACATCGATGTAGAGACGTACCATAGACTAATTATTTATTTTTCTTTTGACGTTTTAAAACTATTGCAACGGCCTTCTTACACGTGCAGAATATCACAGGAAATATTTATTTTTAATTGTAAGATAATGAAAACAAAACAGGCTCGCCTTTGTCAAAGGTATTGGGCCAGATTCATAGGTGCTAATTCTCTAAACCTACCTCTTAACTTAATCGCAGTTCAGAGTTATTTATCAAAAATAAAAAAACTGGTCGTTTCCAAAGGCTTTAGACACGTAAATCAGTATATAAAACATCGTATATATTAAGTATATCCTATTCATGTAAATCGACACTATCGACATACATTGTTTTACGGATGAAAGTACTGGGGATGCATACTAACCGCGAACAACTTGTATCAGAAATTGTGAATACTCTTGCTTAAATATCCGATTGAGAACGGCTAATCTTAGTCTAATTTAACCCATATTAAACACATGCTTGCGCGTTCACCGCTATAAAACCCCATTTGCTGTAACTCTGCAATTCGAGAACACTTCCATTGTCATCTCCAAAAGTATTGGTATCCTCGGTGTCCACATCTCCCGCACTGTGGAGTTCCAAGTTTATCTAGAAGACAGGGTCTAACTGGCATCCAAAAAGCTCGGAGTGTTCAATAGAGTGACACATTACTTCACTGCGAGACACAGACTACTATTGTACAAGTTTCAAGTCCGAAGGGAATGGGATTATTATTATTGGGTTCTAACAGCCCATTTCTAACAATACACCCTATCAGGTCGACCTCCACGCGGTTCCTCCTGTAAACCATTGTGGTTAAAAATTAATGCCACTTTTCGTTGTAATTTTATAACTCACGACCGGGCTCACCTATCCAAACCAAATGTTTAGGTTTTATTCGGACTATTTAGTAGATGGTTTGTGTGAAGTTTGCACAAAATCGGTCGAGCTCGGTCGGTTCTTCATTTATCACATTTTTTGTAACAAATGAAATCAATAAATGGCGGATCATTTTGGTAATAGGGATTTTTGTGTCAAATTCAAACTTTTTTAAGGTGGGGATTGTGCTGTCAAATTGAAACTTTTTTCAGTGTTGACAGTACAAGCATGTTGTTATGTCATTCATGCGGTCATTTCATTTTGGACGTGCTTCGATTAAAGCAAAAACTTTATGTTGCCTGTTCCAGAGTTGGTACCCCCAGCCGTTTGTTTATTCATGCTCAAAATGGGAAAACAAAAAATATTGTTTATCCAAATGCTTTGGATTAAGTTTTAAAATAGCTAGCAATTAATAAAATATTTTTTGTTTGAATTTGATGTTAATTTTTTTTTTAAAACGTTTAAATAGCTAAAATATGTTTGTGAAAAATTGATGTTTTTATAAATAACTGGGTTATGAGGTATCAAAAATAATTCTCTGTATATGTAAATTTTATTTAAATTAAATGAAACATTTGAACTAAGATTATTGTATTTTTTTTTTTACACAGTTTAGAATGGCAAACAAGCTGACGGCCCACTTGGTGGAAAGTGGTGGTGAGTAGTACCATGAACATAACATAATATATAGGGATTCAAAAAATTATATTTTGGAACTTTTATTTTAGCGCCGTAGATTTAGGACAGTAGTAGCGGTTTCTTTTTACGTTTAAGGTTTTATTCATAGACTATACCATAGATTCAGCGGAAGTACGAATGCGGAATATTTTTTTTTTCTTACTTTATGATGTTAGTATATTGGCTGACATGAAGCGTCCTGGCCAAAGGAACCAATCACTATTAGGTTCCAATTTGAATTTGAGGTGGGGATTTCATCCTGTTCTGTCGCCATATTGTGTTGGGCTGTGAGTGCTCAAAGTGAATATTTTTTACATTTATAGTGTAAATTCTTTGTTCATATATTTTGGGATTGAATAGTCTAGAGGTATGTCATAAATTAAGACAAGTTTTTGTCATCATTATTGTTAGTATGTTTTAATTACAATTTGCATGCAAAATGCCGGCTCATAAAATTTCTAGCATCATTGTGTCTAGTCCTGTTTCTCTATCATTTATATTTTAGCAGCTGTATAAAATTATTACACATATTTAAATAAAATCTTTTGAAATAATTAAACATATTGGTCTGAATTTTTTAATTTATTCAATAATTCAAATTGAGGCTGACTGTCTTTGTAATATTTAGTTCAATATGTATTGATATATCAAGTGCTTTGTCAAGTAGAAATTACAATTTTAATACATAACACGTCTTTCTGCCTACTAATATACAAATTTAAATATAGAAAGTAGGTAGTAATCATAAAACTTAAAGTACCTACTTATTAATTTTACGTTCTTTGTGAATGATTGTTCCGATGATTCATCGCCGTGAGTAACTGGGGGAGATATAGGGGTGTAATATTTCTACTACAGAAAAACCATATAGTAATCCTCTAACAAACTCTAAACATTTAGTTCTTGTATAGATTGTAGTTATTTAGAATAGCTAGATAGGTGAATAATCGTTCAGTCATTATCGTATAAATATACTTACTTGTAAATTTAATTGTTGTCATATTTTGTTTTAATGCTATCGGTACTTTGGTAACTTAACCAAATAGGTTGGCGCCTATGAAAATGGTTATTCATGTACTTAGACCTTAATATACTTTAATGTAACCTGCCTAATTTGTTTATAATTTGAATTAAAACTTAATTCAAAATTATTGAATAAAAATATTGAATCTATTGCCTAAAAAATTTATATGAATGTAGATACCTTATGTTATTAATTTTGTGCTAATATCTTTATTTCATGATAGTAACATACTTATCAAAGAAGTATTACCATAAAAATTAGGTAAACTTGTAAGAAATATTGTTTTTATCTATTTACAAATAAATATTACAAAACTATTTACAAATAATTTATTTGTTTATACCAATATATTCCAAAATGTAATTAATAGGTACCTATATAGTAAAGTAACTACTTTTATATTTAACTTTAGAGTAATGGACTTTTTTTATGGGTGAAAATGGAATAGTAACCGTGCCTGCACTAATGGAATATGCTGGCAGAGTACTAGTGAAGGGTGATAGATGAAAATGAAAACAGGCCAATTAGCCCATCATGATGAATTCATCAGGAATTAATCATGATAGTTTCCAGGGGAAACCGCAAGGAGGTTGACCTGGTTGGGTATATTGCTAGCAATGGGATTCTCAGTCTCCATCATTAACAAGCCCTTTCCCCCCAGAGTAATGGACTAGTTGCCAATATTGATAGGTTTTATATTTAATGCAAGTGATGTGGAATATTTAGGTTATTACCATATTACGTTTTAATTGGGCTTATGGTTTGACCTGATAACAATATTTATCTTTTTTATAATTTTGTTGAACCTCACTTATGAATGTATATTATAAAATTGGTATTTTTTTTAACCAAAAATTATTATCTCATCAGCAAATATTTTGGAAATAGTGTGATTTCAGAAAATTTATTAATTTGCTATCAAAAAAAAAAGTCATATTCTTATTTGCCATCATTGTGCTATAAAAATATTGCACCTATTAAGTGCATTTGTTATTCAATTACCAATCAATCAACCTTTAAAATAGAAAGACATAACAAATTGTTTTCAGGGTTAAGTCACTGTGATTGAAACAAGTTTTTACTTTGATTACCTAAATACTTTATTTACCTGTAATACCTACAAGAATTGTTATAATAAATTGAATATAAATAAATGAAAAAAAAAATTATATTAAGTTTACTAGTGTAATGGCAATAAAATTTCTAGTGATGAATATCAAGATTCATGATGTCTGTATTTTCTTAGTTTTCTGAGAAAGGACATCTTAGGGCATTTATTAAACTATAGTTTTATTATGGATGTGGCTCTGATTGACTGATGGAAAACTGAATATGTAAGGGAATGAATAAGTAGGTATCAATGTCTATGTCTAAGCTGGTGTTGGTAGGTAAGTGTTTTAGGAAAAATGCCAGTATTATTCCTTACCAATTACCTTTTATTGCCTATAATTTAAATCTATTTGATTTTGTAACAAAACTTGTTTTTTGTAATTTTGTTGTTTTGGGTTTTTGTAAAACAGCACTTACTCTATTCCTTCCTGCTACCTACTTGTAGTATACACCTTTATTCATCAGAGGATAGGATTATTACTAATGAAGATCAATGATCTTATTGCTAGTATTATATCAGGCTAATTTCCATGCAGATTTCATTAATTCCCTATAAATTTGCCATTATGGGCCAACTGCTTGATTTTATCCTCACCTATCATCTTTTATTGCTAGATATTCCATCAGTGTTTACAAATAGTGCAGACTGGGTTATAAATCTATTTCTGGGTCTCCCCCCCCCCCCCTTCCCCGCTTCCCTCTAGTTTGATGGGAAAAACTTCACAAAAATATATCTAAAGGTAGATATGCTAGCCCAAACTGAATATAATTCTAAAAATGCCAATGCATACAGCTCATCACAAGCTTGCTTTACAAACGGTTCAGTTATCGTAAATTTTTATTCTTTTCTACTAAATTGTATAGTCACGTATTCATTTTAGTAGGAAAGTTTCAAACAATTTTCATATTTTTTTTGTTCATGAATTTGTTTACTTTCAAGCACTATCACTGGACTTTCGGTCTTTGGGTACCTATACTGTTTCGTTCATTCGAGTTAAATTACTACACCCATATAATTTAATAATTAAACATTATGAAATATATTAAATACCAGAGTCGTCTCTGTCTCACTTACGCGTTTCTCTATACTTTCACATTTCATTGTCTGATGCTAATACTGTATCAAATGAAAGGTCTTTCTATAGACAAAGAGTCTCAGTATTGATTAATAATTGTACCGTTAGTTCCTGTTTTAAAATATTCCCTTGTCTAACGAGTTTTTAATTTTGTTTTACAACTAGTTAGGGAATATGGTTTATAAGAATCGGGAATTAACGCGATCATTTAGGTTAAAATAAGACAATTTACCTGGATTATCTCGACGTTTCGACCAGGCTGCATCAACCGTGTTCGCGAGTAGACACCAATTCATTTTTAACCTAAATTATCGCGTTAATTCTCTTTTTCTATAAACCGTAAACTATGCAATGTTAAGATCTAAAAGTTAATATTAAAGAATAGCGAATATTATATGAACTGTATTTTTTTAGAGTTTAATTATATTAGATAGTAAGTAATTTCTATCATAACATAGCTTTTATTCTTCTGGTGGTAGATTACTTGCGGTTAAAATCCGCAACTGGCCACTACCTATCGATTTTCCACTTACCATAGTTACGTACACGTTCTCTGTATACCTTAGTATGTACGGGTACCTATATGCATTGCATGCATTAGTTACCAATTTGCATCATACTAGTTATTCAGAGTGTGTCGTCGATTTCCTTTATTATTTGGCTTTTGTTTCCTTACAAGTATAATATTTTTACCGATTTTTTCAGCAATTAAATTGTTAGTAGGTTAATCTACCCAAATGCAATTTTTTATTTCTACCAATTTTTCAATGTTTAATTTTTTTTTTCTCCAAATTGACACTACCTCTCTCACTTTCATTTTGTGTCAGTTTTCACTATGTTTTACCATTTTACTACGCGAATGACAAAAAAATATTTTTCTTCATAAAGTTCATTTTTCCAAATCTTGACGATTAAAATTTTTATTATCCCAGTTTACGAAAAAAATACCCAATCTGACAACGCTAACAGGTAGGTATATAGTTTATCTAATTTTACTTGTAAGATAAATTATTTTTAGAGTTTTTAGGGAAATTATTTCATTGATAACAATGTTCTTAAAGTTAGGTCTGAAAATTTTTACAGACTTAATTTATGAATCGGTTAAATCATTCAGCTTGAATTTTCATCAATCATTTGAATCAATCATTCTTGAAGAGCATTTATATTATCTATTATACATTACATACCGCCATGTCTATTGTATATCACGATATCTTGGTTGACACGTCATCCAAGACAAGACAATAAGGAAACTGTAATACAGCAATAGATACCCTTATCTTATTCTTTTGTATGCGTCACACCTTTGAAATTAGGTTGATAGGTTATATGCAGATTTGCAAGGTTACAAACTGCACATAATACATATAAACATACAAAGACTTCCTGTCTTTGTACAATTTTCAGAAAGTTTATTTACTGTAAATATAAGATAAAATCCAGTTCAATATAGTTACTGATTTAGCTGTGATCTAAATGAAATCAGTCAAGATTTGAAATAACGTCTTAGTGCCTTTTTTCCATATTTATTTCTGTGCCTCTAGTGATAACTTTTACAGGAAAGAAAAACAACTATTTTTATCAAAAAAAAAGTACTACATTTTTTGGATACTAGACTTTTATTAGACGATAATAATAAATTGCTTTGGTAGTATGTATTTACTATATTTAATATGAAATTGACAGTTTTTGTTTATATCATATAGTATTAAATATAATTGAATTCTACTCAGTTAAACAGTTCAACATTTATTTATTTCTTAAACTTAAAACCATCGTCATTTATAGAAATACCTAATTCGATAGTTTAGCGATTTACTAACATCTTTTAACTAAATTTGCATAGATATCACATTTTGTCACTTAAGATATAAAAATGTGATTGTTGTGAATTCACTCGGAAAACAAAAAAAAAAAAAAATTAGACATTGCAGTTATCATGTGAAAATAGTCACAATTTGACTTTCGACTATTTTCATTAATTTTGAAGAGAAACAATTTTGTGTAAAAGGAATAATAAATTTTAACGTTTAGTTAATAACATCTCTTGACAATAAAATAAACATTACTTAATCATGTACAAGGTTATATATTATCAAGAGTATATTCGAAATGAACCAATTTAAAGAAAGAAAAGAAAAAAAAACCTATTTGATGTTTGGGACTAAGTAACTTGTTACTTCAGGTACTATTTTTTTTATAAAATACTAGCTGCCCGTCCCAGCTTCGCACGTGCAGACATTTTTACAACAGTTTAAAAAATGGTTATTGTGACATAACGATAATAGTTAGTACCGCGAAGTTTTTTGAGTTACGTTACTAAAGTTGTAGTAAGAATCCCTAATCTTTTCTAGCTATAAATATAGCCTATGTTACTCAGGGTGAATGTAACTTTCTAATGGTGAAAGAATTTTTAAAATTAGCGAAGTAGTTTTTAAGTTTATTCATTACAAACACACAAAAATACAAATCTTTCCTCTTTATAATATTAGTGTACATTATTGTTCTAATTCGAATTTAGTCATTTGTAATGAAAAATTTACTTCATTGTAGCTTTTTACACGTTCTGTATCTTCATTGTCTCTTACACTATTAAAAAGCAATAACATTGTTTATTTGATAGCCTAAATAAGGGTACAACTAGACTTTTCTCACTACAGGCACAAATTTGGGATCAGCGTTATGTTTTCTATTTGGAGTCATCACACTGACACTTCTGCCCATGTCGTCTTCATATAATCCATCTATCTGTTTGTATAATCAAGACCCGATTTTGCATTTATAACCATTTACATTTATACATAATACCTTTCTTATCACACTCTTTACTCCCTTATTCTTCACATGCTCATACTAGGACAATCAATTATTTTTTTAGGTTCTCTATTACGAACGCTACTTTTAAATGATGTATTTTATATACTCATTTTTGATGTTATTCATTTGTGTCACACCACACAGCCATTTCATCATTCGTATCTTGTTTGTATGAAGTTGTTCATCCGCCACTTTTACAAGTTAATATTCAGATATAAGACAGCAATCTAGGTCATGCTCTTATAAATCTTTCCCTTAAATTTAAGGGGAATGCGCGAGTCACGAGTAGTTGTTGTAATCTGCCGCCGTTTTATCCATCGTACATTAATTCTGTGCTTTACGATTCTATTTAATTCACCATCGCTTTGGAGGAGGGAATAAATATGTCGTCCTTTTCATACACATAAAGCTAAAGAGATCGCCGAAATCGCAAAACATATTGATCGTATGAAGTTGACTGTATGCGTCACAGACACGCTTTTCCTTTCTGAGGGCCTACCATGAAATATATTCCGAAATTTCGGAGCCGAACGAAACACAAATTTGATGTTAAAATTACATAAAACTTACCGTTTAAAAATATTAAAATGTCATTCTTTTAGACTTTTATGGTAGGATTTATGATGAACGAAATGTTAAGCTCCATTTACTGGGCCGTATTAAAGTATAAACGAAAACACGAAATTGAGTCCGAAACTTCCGAATTTCATTTCATGGTAGGCCCCCAGGGCCTTAAGTTTTTATTAGGCACTAATATTACAAACACAAATTACTTGATGAAAAAGTGGTTCATAAATCCGTTACTATAATATATTAAAACTAAACGAATAGACAATTCTGTATTATTTTTGTATTTAAGAGTAACAGTCTCCAGAAGGTAGTTATATACTGGAAAAAAGTAGTCCTACCCAAGAAATTGAAATCTTTATTGAGGTCTAAGGTACTCTGCATTGTATTAGTAGGCAACTACATAAGTTTGTACATTTGTTTACTTATTCATCAACAGTCGAATGCTGAATAACACGTGGTTTTATTTTTCGAATGCAACGGTTGGGTGGCGTGTATAACGTTTATGAATTTATGTCTATTCAGGCACCCACTCACCCAGCCGTCGACCTTGAACGCACTCGAGTCAAGGTCGCAGATATCTTCGAATCTTATTTAAATTGAAACAACCTCGCTCACCAAGTGCCTCCCATTGTAGCATCGACGACAATAAGTTCGGGTTGACTGCCTAAACAAAAAAAAACATAGTGGGGGCATAAAACAGGTCAATAACCTCAATGCGTGAACCAATTTGAGTGAATATAGGCACCTACGCGATGACCGGCGTACTCGCTAACGCTCGTTTAATACTATTATGATCAAACAAAAGATAATCATAATATCCTAGTACTGCATAACAGTAATTAGCGTAAAATAACACGAATATGTATTACTTAATTAAACGCGCTTAGTATATAATAAATAGGTAGATTCTATGCATCAACCGTGTCTGTGTTACTTTACCATTTATTTGTTAATTGTTTATGTATATTATAATATTGCTACCATTATTGTCAAGACCGGGTGTGGTGGTGATATTTTTGTCTGCAGTGAATGTTTGCGTTTCAAGATAAGATTGAGCTGCGTGACTAACGTTACTGCTATTTATGTTTGTATTGAGAGTAATGAGTACGATAATGAACGATAAATGCAACGATGCACTAGGAATTCGGCCTGTTTCTAATGACCGTTGTACGATAACTACGCGTCTACTGCACTACACTACACTCTCAGTTTCATTTTCAACTCCGTGCTACGTGTACAGTGTTCACTTTTAATCCTAATAATTTATACCCATTAGTCGTGTGAGTAATTTTACTTTTAAGTTTTGAGTTATTGTATGACATATATTGTAGGTGTCGATTCTGAGACTCTATTGATAGTGACATTGTTATGTTATTCTCCACCTATATAGACTTCATTCTATTATAGATAATTTATCCAACACCTAGAATAAATAATTTCTTTTTAATTTCGAACAAAAATTTTAATTTTAGAGATTTGCAAGTTTATTTATGAGTGCGGTTCATATAAGGGCTTTTATTGAGTTGGAAACGAATTGAGCATTTACGAATTTAAAACGTGAGTATTAATAATTACAATACTAATTACTATTTTTTATTATTAATTATTAAAGTTACTATTCAAAAATGTATCTACTATTGAAGTGATAAATCTCGCTCGGATATTACTAATTTAGTAATATGACTAATACAACAAATGCTTTAAAAACTAACATTTTGTACATTTTTAACTAACAACTGTACATATTTGTCGATTTTACTAGGTAAAATTGGCAAAAATGTACAGTATTTTCTTTTTTATTAAATTACACATTTGTCTCGTATAAATTAGGTACTTATGGGGTCCGAACAGGCTATAAGTATAGGACCAGTATATCCATAGATACGTATTAAATAAATACTGCCAATAAATTTACTTTGTGTAATTCGGCCTTTGATTTTATATATAAATTGACGCTTCATCAACTTATTGTGATTGATTTTTATGGGCCATTCCAAAAAGTTTCTAAAATTAAAATTGCAGGGAGAGTATTATATTCGTCTTCAAAAATTTAAATTGAAAGAATTTAAACTCGAAGGGTTTTAACATATTAGACGGTGGAAGAATGATTTCACTGTAAATTCAAACAAAAGTTTTCGTTTTAGTAATGGCACTTCAGAATCGACTCCATATTATAGTTCTTTATTGTTTTACAGTAGTATGTATGTTTTCATTTTTCTAGGTCGTGCTATTGTTTCGGAATATATACACTTTTTATCATAACAACTTAATTTAGTCTCGTAAGTTTAATAATAACTTACGCTGTCGGTTACCTTTGTGTTATGAATTGAAAAATCATCTCATAAATAAATGAAATGTACTACTGATGACAGAAAATGTATTTATCTTTGTTGGTTTAGAATGTTCGGATGTTAACAAATGACGAACGGACCGCACTTCCTCCCTGACTGACCGTCCCCTATGTTTTGGTGCGTGAACTTGTTGTGTAAAATGAAAACGGCAAGTTTTGTGCTCTATAACAAACAAACTTCATTATAACAAACAAATAACGTGACATCTACGAATAATAATATCTAACACATGCCGGCGACCGGTGATGTGTTTGTATTGTATGTATTTACTTTTCATATTGTAAACACATAGAATTTGTTATCTAAATTTACTAGTAAACATACTAATCTCCAATTGAGCTATCCCTTAATAATTTTCTTTTTTCCTCTAAAAAGTTTTCTGAAAAGGTTTGTTGCTTAAATATTAGATATTTTAACTACAATTGAGTGTAGCAATGTCGCTATTATGTCATTTACCAAAAATAATTAAAGCATACAATTGTTTCTATTGTGAATACTATTGCTGGATTTCGTATTGTTGTATAATACTCTGACATCTTATATTTATACGTGTATAAAATACATACAGACGTTGCAATTAGATGCACTTTCGTCGACTCTATTTCGGTCCCTACTCGCCGGTTAAGATTTATTTCTATCTTCTACCCAGCACCATGACCTACTGTAATGATTTCTATTCCAAATCCGGCCTCATAATACCAGCATTGTGTATATCAGTTTTTCAACATGGGCTTTAACGCCCCTTTGTGGGCGTTTGAGACTTTAGAAGGCAGTAGAAGATCCAGAGAAAATTATGATTTAAGTATAATTGTAGCAATGTTATAAATATGCGACAGATAGTAAATGGTAGTATAAAAAAACAAATTGCCGAAGTGGGCGGTGGATTAAAAAACTGTGGTGTATATTTATATGGGTTGGATATAAACTAAATAAAAACTATTTTTTATAAAAGAAACTGCTGTTAAGCAGTTTTTTTTTTTTATTTTATAATCTGCTAATATATACGTGCAACCAAGAATTTGTTTTGGTATTAAAATTACATTTTCATACCAAATGTTACCTTGGAATATAAATATATAGAAATTTAAAATATTATATTAATCCTATCATCACTCATTGTTATCCCGGTAGCGTATACTGGCAGGGTTATCATTTCTTTTGATTTTATTTTCATCTTTGTTTAGGGTTCTGTACCAAAACATCCCTTATATTTGTAGTGCAACTTTGTTCAATCGTCCGTCTGTCACAGCGCTTTATCTCAGCAACTACAAATTCGGTCAATTTAAAATTTGGAATAGTTTAAGATATCATTAGCCCGCGTATATTTCAAATCAAATAACTAAAAAATTTTATTTTTTTATATGAAATAGGAACCAAAATAGATACTTAAAATCTCAAGTGATTATCATAAGGGTTTAATATTTTTTTATATCCAATAGTTTTTTACACATCGAAAACGTAAAATAAAAAATAAATTCCTCCCCTTATTTCCAATATTTATAAAGCGATATTTCCAATTAGTGCAGTTTTTAAGAAATTATCAAGAACCTCAAAAAAACAAACTTGTTGTGCGGTCCAGTATTTAATCACAATTATGGCCCAATATAAGACATTCGAAATAACAGTGTTAGTAACTATTTGATATGTATTTCATATAAAAAACAATGAATAAATAATACGGTAGGGTAAATATAAAATTATAATGTAAAAATTTGACGTTCATAAGCGGCTAAAATGTCCTACATGAATAAATGATTTTTGAATTTTGAATTTTGAATTTTGAAATAATTTGTACGTAAGTCATTTTATGTATTTACGGAACCATTGACGTGTATATTTAATTCGCATCTGACCGGTTTTTTTTTCTATTAAAAAAACATTTCTTATAATTCCCGGATTAAATGTAACCGGTATCCGGATGTTTCTTTCTTAAATAAAATTGTATTTTATTCGGTATGCGCCATTTTGAGACTTCACCATAAGTATTCCCGTCACGTGTTAGTATTATTTAAGTAGACGTTCACCGGAAGTAGGTAGCGCTGTTATTTAAAAACAGGTTTTTTTTTTTTTTATTAATTCGTAAAGATTAAGGCATAATATGCTGCATGTTTTATATTGTAACAACATAAATTCTACGTGTATTCTTTTTGTGATAAAAAGTCCTAGTAGGTACTAGATCAATAATTACTAGTACCGCATTCGAGTATTCTGACATTTTCCTATGGTTGACTGGGAGAGAATGCTTTTAGAATTAAATCCGCCATGTACAACATATATATATACTAATGAATAAATAAATACTATGCTTAGTCGCATTTTTTGGGACTAGTATCTTCGATTAGGTTATGTACAAGTAACTTCGAACAGACTTTATTCTTTAAAGTCAAATAAATGTTTATTTTTCGCCTTTGGATTTTTGTTTCACCTTTTTCTATGGAGGTTGTTTAATTTTTTTTAAAAATGTTGTTTATTTTTAATTCCAGTCAAGTGGGCCGAGCTTGTCAACTTATTTGCCATTGCAAGTCGTAAACGGACGTATGATTTAAATTAAGATTTTAATACAGGTTAGCAGCGAGCATGGGTGCGAAGCAGAGCAAGCGCTCAGTTGATATAAGTGGCAAGGAGGCGGAAGGTGCAGGAGAGGTGGCTGCAGCAGGTGCTGGCGGCGAAGGCCGTGTCGAGCAGCTCGCTGATGCTGATGCCCTCAAGCCACAGCTCAATGGTGATGCACATATACACGACGCGGTGAGTACCTACAGTCCACGGGGCAATGTCACCTATATTTTAGTCATCCATTTTATTGGTTTTCTACAATTCATCATACACGTGGAACTCTCCCGAAACGGGTTCTACTTCCATATTCATCATAAGTTTTTGTTGTGGAAAAAAATATCAATGTGAAAAGACAATATCATTTAGTTCTGAGTAGTTCATAATTATTATACTCGTTCCGCTTTACAACCAAGAATCATTTTTTTGTCATAAACATTCTTTATGAAATCATGAATCCGAAAAATGTCAAGCAAATTGTAGTTTATCAATATAATAACCATAATGACAGATTTATACAAAACAATTGTACTTTTTGGACAAAGTAAAATTAAGATTTGTTCTTTCTATTGTGATATAGCAATGTTTATTTAGCTATGCGATTTTTATTGCTATATGATCATAACAACACATACCTCTGCTATATAGCTGATATTCTAGTTCAAGAATTTTAATGGCTCACTTCGTAGACATGCGTTCCACAACTTCCTTTCTAGATAACAGTTCCAGCGTACCGTGACCCTTATTGAGGCTCTCTTTACTTAAACTTTAGAGCAAATATTTAGCTGGATTAGACAAATATTATAATCGAATATAGTCACATATATATCGCCTAAGTTAGAAATATTCAAAAAGTTAAATTTGTGATTCAGTTTCTCATATTTTGTTTCGATTTAACTTGATGAAAATATAAATAAATGCCCGAAAACAAGATTTTATGTCCAATAGTAGTACAAATCAAAATTCAATTTGATTTTGGTGTTTTGATTTGTTACTAATCTCATTTATAGAGAATTTCGTTGATAATTTCAACAAACTACTTTTTTTTATTATGGTCTATTAATATAACTACTATACTAACATTCTACTTGTGTAAATTTGGCCGTGCATATTTTCGATACTATTTGACATACTATTTTTTTTTACTATTTAACCATAGAAATATTATCTATATATATATATATATATATATATATATATATATATATATATATATATATATATATATATATATATATATATATATCTGATCAAGTTATTTGACTTATAAACTATTTGAAAAATTTAACTTAATGATTCAGTGACAGGTTGCGATCTCTTAATAAAGCACGGAAATGTTCGTTAAAATACTATGTGTCACTCTTTAGTTAGGGTTTCCATTGGCATTTTGAAATCTATTTAAAATGTTATTGAAGGATGTCGATTATAGTGAAAATCACAACTCGAATTTGACTTGTGTTATAAATAAACATGATTGGTTTAATATGAATATTGCCATAATGATGATTTAATTGACCACATAATTTGGTTCCATTGTTACATACTTCTAAACTTCTGTCAATTGAATCAACAATTAGAGGAACTTCGCGTAATATAATATTTTAGCTATAACGTTATACTGCTTTATCACCTGTCGCCTCATTTATGATTAACACAAATTAGTAATAATTTGCTTTATAATCACCATCTTAATTATTTTAATATTTGCAGTATTACGTACTTTGTTGCTATTTATAAAACCTATAATTATATATAGCAAAGAATGTTTTTGACACGAAAAGGAAATAATAGGTACATGAAACTATAGATAAAAATAATATTTCAGGATAAAGATAAACAAGCAGAAGCTGGAACGCCAGAAAATGAGAAAGATGCTACTACGGAAAAGGAATCAAAAGAACAAGATAACGAAAAGGAGAAGGAAGCTCCGCCAGTAACGAACGGAGACAGCGGGGAACAAAAAGTAGAGAATGGTGTGGAATCTCCCTCAGCGCCCGAAGATGGCAAGAAACCCAAGAAGGAGAAGGTATGTTTGTTTTGGGTACTAACAATTATATTCTGTTTACATATTTTTTCAAAAATCCAAAACCTCTTTATGGTCTGTCATTATTTCTATTACTGTAGTAATTATATATACAAATATTGGTATTTGAGTATATAATTGTCATTATATACTCAAATATCATGTTATATGATTTACATAATAATATATAACGTATTAAATAGTAGATAAAAAAAACCTTTAAAGACAACAATTAACACTTCTAACTTCTGTTACGTGTGTTTTAGTAATTTAGTGTGTAATAAATTAATAAACATAAGCATTATGTCCTGGGCAGGTCAAGAAGAAATGGTCACTTAGATCTATCAGTTTTAGCAGAAAAGATAAGCCGAAGCAGGAGAAGAAACAAAAGGAAGAGGAGCCTAAGACTAATGGAGAGGCAGAAAAGGTCCCTGAAGAGGTAAGTTAGAGTTTAGTAAAATAGTTGTTATTTTCTAATGTAGCCCTAAGTTTAAGAACTTCATGGTTACTTTGAAAACCTGTTATGTCAGTTATTTTATATAGCAATTATTTTTCAAAGGTTGATACAAATATACTTCTCTGAGTCTACATGCTAACAATGCTTGTCATAGACAACAATAATGGAAATATTCCTCAAAATGTTTATGCCAATCCGTCTTTGTATTTAGTTGTAACTGGCCTACTTTCACAAAATTCGTGCTAACCTCTTTTGCTGACAGTCATAATGAAATGCCCATCTGATACACAGTGTAATATTAATCCTTGGATCCTCAATCGAAGTCATTGGCTTTCGTTAGAATTTAAAGTGAATACAGGCGCACGTGTGGTCGAAAACGAGTACGGTCAGGGGCTGGCGTATGAACTCGCGTCGAGCCTGCAAGTACCGTTGATCTAACCTAGAATCTGCATGTGCGATCTCGCGGAAGGAGACCATACGTGTATATTAATGACTGTTATAATGTTTACAATACTAAATTAGTATATTTTGGCGAATACAAAAATAATAGTTAAATTAATATTTACATAGTTGTCAGTAATTTGTCAAAATTAAACTTTTAGTTTGTGTAGAACACGACCTTGCAGTTAAAATCGGTCCAACTAGAAACTAACGATTTCTATGACAAGTAAACTATTGCGACGTAGTGCATTGCACCCAAACTGGCGGGGCGGCGGCGCGGGCGCGTAGAACAATGCGCATTATAATTCAAAGTGGTGCTATATCCGTACTAACCATACGTGAGCCGCCATTGTCGGCCGCGATATCACTACTACAGACGACGCTTAGCCCATTGACAATTGACGTGTGACGTAAATTTAATAAAGGTTTTGTATAATCTGCAAACGTTTCACGAATGAAATGATATATCGAATTGAATCTGATGTCTGTTCTATATGGTGACGTGACGTATATTATTTCGTTTTGAATTTGTATACCAATGTTTTTACGAATCATAGATATATAATTTTAGCATATCTTTTATTTAGATGTGATAGGTACGTCGTCTATTTGATGCCTCTGTACCAGAGTGGCACTCAATTAGCAAAGTTGCTAAAGTTTGTTTCTACGAGCGAATATAAACTCAACTAAATGAATCACTGTCCCCACATTATTCACTATTGTTACTTATTGATCTAAGGCAATTAATTTTTGCGTTTAGTACACATAATTTATTTCTTTCTTTTTTTTATACAACCTAAAATGGCAAACAAGCTGACGGCTCACCTGATGGAAAGTGGTAACCGTCGCCTATAGACATGAGCAGTACCATGGACATAACAGACTATACTGTTTCGGCCATAATACCCCCCTCCCCCCATGCGTTGCCATTCTTGAGGACTCAGGTGTTATTCCTCTGTACCCTGTAAATTCACGCTATATCCCACCCTTCAAACCGAAACACAGCTTGAAACACAAATGGGACAGAGGTACCCAACCAAACGACTTTTGTACAAAGTACATAAATACATACATATACATAAACGAGGAAATATATATATTAACGATGTAGGAAAGTGCAAAATGTATGCTACGGTATTGATATAATCTTCGTATACCACATGATTTAAAAATTGTATGTCAATTTACTAATTCTCTTTAACAATATTGCGTATAGAATGTTATTGACCACAGCGCTTAGACTAATACGGAGGCGTTAAATGAATGACAAACGACAATCCTTATGCTTAGAAATTATAATTAAATGTAAACTATATAAGTCACAACTTCATTCGTCATATATTTTAGTCAGCAACATGTTTTAATCATTTGTCTAACCAAATACTGTGTCACGGAATAAAAAGGGAGCTCTTTTTGAAACCGCTTTTATTAACACGTGTTTATTTATTTCACTTGGACTTTAGATACTTTCAATATTACTACTGTATGTATTTTTAGCTTCTGTTTAATCAAATGGCTAAAAAGAACTACAAATCCATCATATTTATGTCACAGTTGTTGCCTAGTTACGGTAATTAAGAAAACGATTACTCCGCTTATTTGGATTAATAAGACTAGTGTATTTATGAACTTACTTTTTAATAAATTTGTTTAAAATTTTATATTATATTTCACTTTTACCTATAGTCACGGTATTTTCAACCTCTTCAAAAAAGAAGGAGGTTCTCAATTTTGTTGTTTTTTTTTCTGTTTGTTACTTTATAACTCGCGTGTCATTTATAAATCGATTTTTACTTGATACTATACTTACGATAGTTTTAGATTAAAGGAGTCTCATGGAAATTTTATCGAAATTGATTAAACATGAGCAATACCATGGACATAACAGAGTAGACTGTTTCACCCATGATACCCCCTATGCGTTGTCATTCCTGATGATTTAGATGTTATTCCTCTGTACCCTGTAAATTCACACCATATTCCAACCTTCAAACCGAAACACAGCTGTGCAAACAACTGCTTCACGATAGAAACACAAATGGGACAGAGGTACCCAAGCAATCGACTTTTGTACAAAGTCTCCCTCTGGTGAATTGTCCTAGGGACGACACTTTTTGAAATTTTAAAGGTACTATACTTTAAATTTTTGATTGAAATTTCATAGGTAGAATCACTGTCATGGAATAAGTACGCAGCAATCGCACGTGCTCTGTAGGCGATAGTGACTAAATTATGGTTTCAAGTTTTTGCATGGAACTTATGTCGAAAAAAAATTTATTATAGGGTTCATATGCGGAAATTAGTTTTCAATAAATAAATTTTGTGACATCTCGGTGAGTAGTTTAGTAATGAGTCTGGTGGCACGTTTAGTTTTTGTCTGTGCATAAAATAGATGTTGCCATTCATACAGTAAGCGCCCTCAAACGGGTTTATAAACAAACAGTGTAAAATTAGCAACCTACGGCAGGTATTGCGACGCGACGGACTCGTGGGCGAGTAGGTCCGGATCCCAACCCGCCCCGCAGCCGGTTGTGACGCTACACGTAGGAAGTTGGCAAACCGCTTTTCGATCTCCAGTCAAATTCTCTTACTTATCGTATATCGCAACAATATTATCATTATGTAGTTTGTTAAAATTTTTATTTGAAACTACCATAAAACTACTATGACTCCTCCAATACCACCATAATGGTACATATAAGACTATCAGATATAAAATCCTAGCAAGATTAATTTATTAATAAAAAGTTATTGAGGTACTTTTAATGACATTGGTGAAATTTATAGTTTTACACTATCTTGCTTAGCGTAGGAAATATAATGAGGTCACTTCGTTTTTCTTTTTATATTACATATTTGACAGGATACATCATATACGTCTATATAATCATATCTAGACAATGTATTAAACTAGCGATGCCCTATTAATACCATCTCATAAGATTAAAATAATTCAAACGGGTCACATCGTTTCCATCCATTTTATTTTTATATACATATATAACTGTAAAATGTTTACTTTTTATAGTGAGGAGAACAATAGAAACACGTCCCTTAGTTCAAACATATATTACACGAGAGAGATACCCTACAAAAGATCCTACATATACTACAATAGCAGTGAAATTAGCTCCCGAGACATTCAAATATATATAATCGGAATTAATTAGATCACTATACCGCATTACATAGCTTATTAGATTAAGTAAAAGTTCGCATGAAACCAGGAGAATAATTGTGTCATATATATTAGAATTTATATAAATTAGTCCCACAATTAGTGTCTCTGCACATACCATTGTGATGGATCCATTATTTTGATAACGATGCTCGTTAATTGATAATGGACTCATAGTATGCAGAAGCTATTTCCATCAACTACGTTTGTATCGTATGAACAATGCGACGCAAAAGTGTTTACATGTAAATTTGTATCAAAACCGACTACCGGTAGGGTAAGACGACGAGTAGGTGGCTCAAGTTGCATGTTTACTAAATGGACGTCTCAAACTTACCGACTCACCTGTCGTATTTACACAATACGTTTATATGGCTATAACAAGGAAGGGCTTTCGTTTTGTCAGGGACCCGTGACCATAAATCCGAATTTTATCAAATTCAATCCCATCCTATCCCCTTAGACACTTTAAACAAAATAAGATCGGATGTTGTAATTCATACATATGTTCATATAGGTAAAATTATTTGGGACGCGAATACACGAAGACAAATATATCTAGTTTTCTTTTTTTATATCCATGTATTTTTATTAATTTAATTAAATGAATTAAATTAATAAAACAATATTAATATTTTTTATTCCTACAATACTCTAAATAGATTTTTGAACAGATTTGCAATATTTTAGAATATTTTCGGAACAGGTACCACAATTATGAAATAATAGTATCTGTGACGTTACTGTCAATTTCTTTAGTATATTATAATATAATGTGATGTCTAGCTTAGTAATAGGAAATTAATAGGTAGAGACGACAATAATAAATTATAGCCCTTCTATTAATATATACGAAGTCATTTACTCAAGAGCATAGCTATTTTATTATTTTCAACATTTGTTTGCTTTGGAATTAGTCATCTATCATTTAGATACTGTTTGCCAATTAAAGTTATTTAGATGAGAACAACAACGAATTCTTAGAATAGGTAGTATTGATTTAAAACTTCTCACTGTAATTGATACAGAGTCACGTTGTTTTACACGTAACAAAGGGCTTCATGTGGGCGATAATTTAGTTAGTACTTTGTATTGAATAGGATTTAGAAGGCAAGTTGCTATCTTTATGCGTTGTGCAGTATTTCGTTTCACTGTTAGTTTTTATCGTACTATAGTATGTATAGCATGGTACTATAATATGTATACATGGTGTTTAAACATTTGCTTATTATATAAGTAGATAGGTATTATATGTATTTATATGTATTTCTGTAATATTCTGTTATATATTAATATTTCATTGAAGTAACTGTTTATTTGTTTATGTATTGATTAGTTATTTATATTCGGAGTATTAATAGTT